TGCGTATCATGGCGTTGATGGGTGGACAAGATACTTTTGCAGCACGTGCGGGTGCCATGTCCTCAGACGCAGGGATATTGATGGAGTGATTGTATGGGAAGCAGCCACTGGCGTCCTACTACACAACACGGCCGAGGACGTTGGCGCGGACGCGCGTTTTGCAAGGCACACCGGCGTTTCCGATACCAAAGACGGCGGGATCTCGATATGGCTGTCCGAGATTGATGGACAGCGGCTGGAATCGACGACAACGCCGGTCACTCCATCATCACAGCCCACAACGAAGCTTCCTCCCACGCCAGCTGGCTGTTCAAAAGACTCTCTGCACGCCTCATGCGCCTGTGGCAGAGTGAGCTACCACATCACACGGCCAACCGAAGAAAGCTATCTACCGCACTCCGGCTTCCCCGACCTACAATATGCTCAAGTCGAACATTCCGCCGAGTTTATGAAGAACCCTGACACCGTCAAGTGGTGGATTCGAAGCAACGGCACAAAGTACTTGGCTGGGACCTGTGCTTGTCGGTCTTGCCGCCTCATCTCCGGATTTGAGGTTCAGACATGGGCATTCGTCCCCCGATGCAACATCTTCTTTCACGTCCCGGGACCAGACGACGGCCAGTCCGGAATTCTCCCTCTCAACTTCGCGGACTTGCCCGCCGGAATCGTGAGAACGTATGAATCCTCACCTGGCGTCTTTCGCGAATTCTGTGGTAACTGCGGTGCAACGATATTCTGGCGCGACAGTTGGCGACCGGACGTCATCGACGTCAGCGTAGGGCTGCTTCGGGCAGACGAAGGTGCGCGGGCCGAGACGTGGTTGGACTGGTGGACGGAGCGATGCAGCTTCGAGGAAGAGACGGAAAGGGGTCGATCAGGAGAGCCCGCGCGCATTGCCCGGAGGCTCATTGACGGTCTTGAACGAGGCTTGCGCTCAGGGGCCCAGTCAAAGTGATGCAGCTTGGTGCTACGGCAGATAGTCATACGTAATTTAATCAGAAACAAATCGTTCACCGTGACGCTCTTTGCAGGTCGCTAGCAGGCCTATAATAGGCAATTTGCAGAATCACGTTCTTCTTGGCGAACAGGATAACAAATCATTTTTGCTACGGACTATAGAAAGATGGATCAATCCGGCAATCTGAAATCTGGATTCCATTGTCCTACCCCTGAGATGAGCCAAGGATACCCGAGTCATCCCATGTCCGTTCCAAGTTTCGCAATGATTGAACTGCTTTCCAATTCGGATGAAACAGGCAGGTTTCTATATCAATCCAGAAAACATGAAAACAGTGCCCGTGAACTTATCAAGCATTGTTTAAGGGGCTATTTCGGCCCGCTTCCCAGTGGGATAGACTTGGCGTATGACTCGGGGGTCCCCTTTCGGGCCTGCCAAGCGCGCCGGGCCGGGCGGGGCCCCCTTAACGGACGGACACGGACTCTGTCAAAGGTCGGGCCCGCGGCGCCGGGTCCTGTGGAGGGACACGTGGGATATTGGCGGGATACTGGATTCATGGGACCGGAGTTGGCGGGATACCGGGCGAGCTCATACCTACCGACTTCTCCAGGTCGTCAAGCTGAACTCACCGTTGTCTGACCGAGCGGTTAGTTTACTTGGCATGCTTATGTGCCTTGGTGACAGCTACTCGGATCGATTCCAAGCCCCGCAATCCTCTGGGTGCTGACAGCTTACTGCTGCGCCTCGGGGTAAGGGTAGCATCACAAAGACTCTCACTTTCAGGCCATCCTGTGCCGTTGCACAGGCAACATCTGTCCGTATCTTCACAAGAGGTCTAGTCTATTGATGCACATCGTTGATCGGGATGAGTCTAAAGCGAGTATCGCGCCACTTCTCACTTTCTAAGGATGTAATACCGACTAGACCAAGGAGCGCTGACGAACCGAGCCTCCATTATTGGTAGCTGAAAATAGAAGAGGGCATCACCCGCTTATGCAGTGTGATGGAGTTGGGGCCTCAAGCTTGGCATGCACAGCTCAACCTAGTCCGCATCGCGTCGTTGGTTTGAGTTGCGACATAAGGTCAACGACATGTCTGCTTTCTTTGAATATCTCGGTGCTGTGAGCTATTTTCATCTTCATCTGTACTGGCAGAGGAACGTGGGCATCTGATTTGTGCGTCTTGAACTGCGGTTTCCAGACAAGGCGGTAATTTTCTTGGCTGCTGGCTGTGGAGTAAAATTACAGTGAACGTCAGTAAGGGCTCGCTCGACGTGGAACACAAGTGTTTACGACTTGAAAAACATTCAGTCAATTGCTCTCGGGTGTAAGTATGTCCGCGACGGAGTTCCGCTCACGAAGTCAATGCCATTTGAATCCGATACAAGCCCATGATCAAAAGCCGAGACGGGCATAGCCTCTTGAGCGGGAATCCGTTCACTTACACTTCCTTGAGCTTACAAACATTGTTGGAATATCACTCGTGACTACGAAATCATGTTGCATGAACTCGGCAGTGAGGAAGTTGGATGCCAAAAAGTAAACTTCTATAATGATCCATGCTGACCCTTCAAGTTGGTTCATCGCCGAAGACGAATAATATTGAGCAGTATTAAGTCCGATGAAAATTGACTTAGTAGCCCGGGTCTGTGAGTTGGGGAACTTTTGACTTTGCATGCAACTCCAAGGGAAGCTGGCAGAATTGATCACATGGATCACGGGTTGCATTTACCTGTCCTTCCCAAATGGAAATGTCGTCCGCCTCGGCATCCTAGAGCAAAGTCAATTGAAGACAATGGTAAGTTGAACGGAGTGAAAAACGTACTTATCTGTTGTCACTGTGATCCTTGCCGACTTTGACCGGCGTCCTATAGAATCGAGGCAGTTTATAATCAAAATAGGGTGCAGCCGAGTCGATCAAGGTTTCCAAGTTTACTTTTGGTATAGTGGGAGGGGGCAACGCGATATGATTCATCATTGGTAAGTTTGCGCGCGTGAAAGGGTGTGAGATGAACCCCGAAAAACAAATCTCCCAGTTCTTGAATAGCCCGTGCTCCCCTCCCCCCTATGTTGTGTGGCGTTCCCCGAGATGATATCGCAAAGGTAAACTTTCCGTGCCCCCTCGATACTGCATCCTTCGTATAGGTAACTATAGCTGGTCGTGCACGTGTTGGGGTGGACATGGACTGTGGTCTGTGGAGGAAAAAGATTATAGCATGCCACGGACACCGCGGACGCATACGGCAGAGACGAAAGAGGGTAATGTTTCCGGCAACTAAGTGTGCAGTGCCCAGCCAATGTGGTTCGACACATTTCTAGTACAGGCTCATGACCCGTCGGCAAGTGGGTGTCGGCCGAGTAGCAAAACCAGTCTACAAGGATGAACGTGATTCAGAGAGTTGCACGCTACGGTAGTTGACAGGGCGGCAATCTCATTCTCATCTCAGCCACTCTCAGCGTCAGATTTCACCTCTGCTGTCACCGTGCTCCCCATTGCGGCTTACCCCAGCAAACTCCCAAGGGCCTCCGGGTTCGCAGTTCCCAGCCAAGGGAATGGTGTTGCGTGTCCAAGGCCCAAGGGGACTCTGCATGTGATGAGAAGCCACCTCGCCAAGCATCTTGGCAGCACAGGTGGACGGGGTGACTGATGTGGCTATACACTACTCGGGGGCAATCTTTTGGCTCGGGCACAGCCGGGGTCGCAGGATTTTCGGCCGACAGCTCTCTTACTGTAAGGTGCATGCACGAATACTCGCGTACCTCAAAACTAGCCTTCCTGTTCAGGATGGTGGTGCTGGCTGGGTTGGCCCGGCCTGTCGAGGGTTTCTTTCGTGCTTGCAGCTGGCGTGCTGATCTGCCACGCCGCCTGGCTGCATCCCATCCCGCCCGCATGTCCGTGTGGGTGGTGTCACCTTGGAGTGTGGTTCCGAGTGTTTCTGTGCCGTGCGTTCCAGTCGAGGCCGTTGAAGGCCGCCATCAACGGCCGGCCGGCGCGCGGGGATGGATCGTCGAGGAGGGTCGTCTAGGAGGGGGGAGGCGTTCGGGTTCCAGATCCTCCCCTCCAGAGGCTTGCTTTTGCTTCTTCCCACACCCAAATACTTGCCCGCCGCCAGAGGGAGGTAGGGCTGAGTCAATGCACGATTGATGAAAAGCTTCCTTCATCCCATGTTGGGTGGTCGCGATTTGGGCCAAAACCTTGTGCGACTCTTTAGAGCCTAGACCTGTAATGGCAGGTTGTCTACAGCTAGGTTGTCTAGTCTCCCACCCGGCATTGCATTCGGGGGGTTTTGCTGGGACATGGATTCTCGAGACTCCTCTCTAGGAGTTTCGCTAGGAACAAAGTCGCAAGTCCGCAGAAGCAAGATGAATGACGGAGGCATCAATTAGCCCGTTGCGCGCGGGCAGCTCCGTACATGCTAAGTGTATATGCAGTCCTAACTTCTAAGTGGTGTTTACAGACAGGGTACAGCAGGATATAGCAGGGAGAGGGCGGGTTGATATGATCCGATTTGTTGCTCTTCGGAGTTTAGGGGGCGAAGTCTATTAGATTCAAAAGTGGCTCCCGCAGCTTGGAAACTGTCATCGCACAATTGGTCGCGGTTGGTGTGAATTATTGCAGGCTTTACAGAAATACTACCTTACTCTTCCAGTCACCCAGTAACTTGGCACCGGCCCGCATCAGACTGTTGACTTTTGGCCATCGGAGCAGGGAGCACAGCTCGTCAGCTCCCCGGATTCCCTAGCTTATGCCTGGCTATGGATCAACATCTGAACTCATGATCCCGGCCACGCCAGCCCGATCCTGGTGTGTTCTCCTCCTTGGGCCCCATGTCTTCTCCATACAAGTTGCCGTAAGTTTCACCCATATGGACATCGCTTAGGACACAATCCCCGCCCAAAAGTGTGAAAAGCGGACCAGACCACACCAAAGAGCCATCTGCCAATCTGCGTATGTTCACGCCCATCCTAATCAAACAAGATTGTTATTCCAGGCGCTTATTCTGGATCGCAAACCTTGCCATGGGAGCATCTTAGTGCGCAATACCGACTCGACTGCCGTTGTAGGAAGCTTATTACCAAGGCCCCCGTCAGCGATGCCTTGCGCAGCATTGGGGACGCCGGGCTTGGAAGCGGCCTTCGCAGGTCTTGGTATTGTTACTAATCATGGAGTTCTGGAATCAAAATATTCCCACATGGAGATGCTCCATCGTGGCTCGTGGTACCTGCTCAGAAGCCGTGTCATTGCTCGTGAGTCGTAGGTCGCCACAGTTTATTACTTATGTCCTGGGGTTCGTCCCATCTTGGAATAAAGATTTGTTTCCTCTTCTTCAGGAACACACTCATCTCTCACCCGTTGAGTCTGCTACCCCCCGGTCTCACTCTCACCTAGTCATTCCTTCTTTGAACGTCCTCTGGACCAACCTGTCTTGTCAACATGCACGCCAAACTTTCAAGCTGCCTTTTGGCGGCCTCTGCTCTCCTGCCCGCCGTCACGGCTGAGGGTTGCCCTTTCGCCAAACGCGATGGTTCCGTCACCAGCGAGCTCCCCAAGAGGGACACGGCCGAGGGCTTCGGCCGATGCTCGAGAATCAGCAACCAGGCTGGCGGCGGCACTCGCAGCCACGACTGGTGGCCATGCCAGCTCAGACTCGATACTCTTCGTCAATTCCAGCCCGCGACCAACCCGTACGGAGGCGATTTCGATTACACTGCGGCTTTCAACTCTTTGGATTGTGAGTAGATTCGATGGAGAGAGGGAAGAATAAACGATGTGTGGGAGGATCCTCACTAACACCCCACGACAGATGAGGCTCTGAAGAAGGACCTCCACGCCCTGATGACGGAGTCCCAGGAATGGTGGCCCGCCGACTTTGGCCACTATGGCGGTCTCTTCATCCGCATGGCCTGGCATAGCGCCGGCACTTATCGCGCCATTGACGGCCGAGGTGGCGGTGGAATGGTGAGCCGTTTTTTCTTCACTGCATCTCTTGGCTTATGTTTTACTCTCTTCTCTTTGGCTGTGCTATCCCGAAAGTCCTTCCCTCCCTCCCCCCGCTCTCCCGGTCTTCCTAGTGCTTTCCCCTTGGCACAAGGTAGCTGGAAGAAACACCGCGTTGTAACCCCCCCCCCCCCCCCCCCCCTCCATTTTAGCATATTTCTTATTCCTTGCCTACCGTTGCACTTGATCATCTCTTCGCGGTCCTATTCGTCTCGCGTTGGAAGATCAATTAGTTAGACGGAGGTTTTTGTCCTATCCCGGATCAAAGCCAAGAGGTGCTAAAGCGTCTCCGTCGACTTTTTCTCCACCCGCACCGCGTCACGAAATATGGACCTGGGCTGTTTGCATCTTATCACATCTCTGCATCAGTTTGATTCTTGAGGACTGGCGTTTACTAATATTGGACTGCTGCAGGGCCAACAACGTTTTGCTCCGCTTAACAGCTGGCCTGACAACCAGAACCTCGACAAGGCTCGCCGCCTGCTGTGTAAGATTTTCCGTCCTCATGCGCTCTTTTGCGATTCGGCCCACCCATGTTCGACTTGCATCATCGACTCGGGAGCAATATCCACTTTGCCGTGGCTCGATGGCGCGAGTAGAGCGATGTTGTGGGCCTCTTGAGAGATAGAGAGAGAAGAAACGTTTGCTAATCCTAGCTCTTCCATGTTTTACAGGGCCTATCAAGCAAAAGTACGGCAACAAGATCTCATGGGCCGACTTGTACCTGCTCACCGGCAACGTCGCCCTCGAGTCCATGGGCTTCACCCCCCTTGGCTTCGCCGCTGGCCGTCCCGATACCTGGCAATCCGATGAGTCCGTCTACTGGGGAGGAGAGACGACTTTCGTCCCCAAGGGCAACGATGTCCGCTACAACGGCAGCACCGACATCAACGAGCGCGCCGACAAGCTCGAGAAGCCCCTGGGTGCCACCCACATGGGTCTCATCTACGTCAACCCGGAGGGCCCCGATGCCAGCTCCGACCCCGCCGCTTCGGCCAAGGACATCCGCGTCGCTTTCGATCGCATGGGAATGAACGATGAGGAGACTGTCGCTCTGATCGCCGGTGGACACGCCTTCGGCAAGACGCACGGTGCTGTGCCTGCAAGTGAGTTGCACCTCATTCACGCGTCCCCTCTTCACCATCCCGGTGCTAGTCGGACGAACGCGCGCAAGAATTGAGCGTCTCCGGAGAGAGCTCCGGCTCACCCCCGGGAACACACGATTTTCACCGCCACTTTTGGAACATGCAAATGCTAACCGGCGTCTCTCATAGGCAACATTGGAGGTGAGCCCGAGGCCGCTGACCTTGGCGAGATGGGTCTCGGATGGCACAACAGCGTTGGCGATGGCAATGGTGTCAACCAGATGACTAGTGGTCTTGAGGTTGTCTGGACCAAGACCCCTACCAAGTAAGTCATGATTGTGATGAGTCTATTTCCGTTTGCATATGATTTGCGCCCCTCAGGGTCTTGGCACTCCAGTCACTCTCATTTCCCCTCTTCTCACTCTTGAGAGGTCTTTTATCTCATTTGCCGAATATTCGCCCATGAGAGAAAGAGAAGGTCATGGGAGAAGTGATGAGGCGACAAACGATGAGGCCAAGAAAAGCTATTTATACACCAACCACACCGGGTGATTATGCAGTGACACACCGACGCTAATCCTTGTACCTGCAGATGGAGCAACGGCTACTTGGAGTCTCTCATTCACAACAAATGGACCCTCGTCACCAGCCCTGCCGGCGCTCATCAGTGGGAGGCTGTCAACGGCACCCTCGACTACCCCGACCCCTTTGACAGCACCAAGTTCCGCAAGGCCACCATGCTCACCAGTGACTTGGCTCTCATCAACGACCCGTCCTACCTCAACATCACCACCCGCTGGCTCGACCACCCTCAGGAGCTGGCCGACGCCTTCGCCAAGGCTTGGTTCAAGCTTCTCCACCGTGACTTGGGTCCCGTCGCCCGCTACCTCGGTCCTGAGATCCCCAAGGAGACTTTCGGCTGGCAGGATCCCCTTCCCGCCAGGGAGGGTGAGCTCATTGACGATGCTGATGTGACCAAGCTCAAGTCTGACATCCTCGGCACCGCCGGTCTCGACGTCTCCAAGCTCGCCTCCGTCGCCTGGGCCTCCGCCTCGACCTTCCGTCACTCCGACAAGCGTGGTGGTGCCAACGGTGCCCGTATCGCCCTCGAGCCCCAGAACAAGTGGGTTTCCAACAACCCTACCGTCCTCGCCGAGGTCGTCGACGCCCTCAAGAAGATCCAGACGAGCTTCAACACCGGTGCCAAGAAGGTCTCCCTCGCCGACTTGATCGTTCTTGGTGGTGTCGCCGCTGTCGAGAAGGCCGCTTCTGACGCTGGTGTCGCCGTCACCGTCCCCTTCACTGCCGGCCGCGTCGACGCCACCCAGGAGCAGACCGACGTCCGCGCCTTCAACTACCTCGAGCCCCAGGCCGACGGTTTCCGCAACTACGGCAAGGGCACCGCCCGCGCTCGCACTGAGGAGATCCTCGTCGACAAGGCCTCGCAGCTTACCCTCTCCGCCCCGGAGCTGACTGTTCTCGTCGGTGGTCTCCGTGCCCTCGGCGCCACTTTCGACCAGTCCAACACCGGTGTTCTTACCGCCAAGAAGGGCCAGTTGACCAACGACTGGTTCATCAACCTGCTCGACATCTCCACCGTCTGGTCCAAGACCGACACCGAGGGCGAGACCTGGACCGGTGTCGACCGCAAGACCAAGGCCGAGAAGTGGACCGCCACCCGCGCCGATCTCGTGTTCGGATCCCACGCCGAGCTCCGTGCCATCTCTGAGGTCTACGCCAGCTCCGACGCTAACGAGAAGTTCGTCAAGGACTTCGTCGCTGCTTGGGATAAGGTCATGAACCTTGACCGCTTCGACTTGAAGAAGTACTAAAGTGCTCTACGCACTAACCCAACTGTTTCTATGTTAAGGATTTAAGGTGTTGGCGGCTATTCTTGTATCTACTTTATACCTCATATATTCTCTCGTCTGCACTCTGTCCCCTCCACAGTTCATAATCGTCGTGACTCATCATTCAGTTTAGTCGGTCGGCTTAAGAAGTCAAGTACATGCCCTTAAAACCAATTCCAATGTCGAGACACTCAACAGTACTCTGGAAGACTATTCAATTTCTAGAATGTCTAAAGAAATTTCTATGGACTTGTGTTGGGCTGACCTGACTTTTTCGACTTCGGCTTGATGAATATCGCAGCTAGAAGCATGCAACCAGAAACGCCAGCAAAGAATGCCCACATCACACGCAACGCAGACATGTAGATAGCCTTGCTAGCCCCTGGAGTTCCATCGTTCCCATTCTCAGAACCAAGCTTCCCTGCCGTCAGCTCTCCACCACCAAGGTTATGCTGCAACAGCACCGTCCCGATGACAATGGACATCGAAGAAAAGAGAGACCTCACAAAACTGAAAGCCGACATAGCAGCCGCCATATCTTTTTGCTTCGTGTGAGTCTGAATTGAGATCATGGGACTTTGGAAGAGCACACCGGCACCGAACCCAGTAATCATTTGGAAAGACACAATCTTGGCCCACTCCGTGCTGATGCCAAAGCTGATGAACAGGCCATTCCCGAGAGTCATGAGTGCCGAACCAAAGAAGATGGGAACAATGTAGTTGCCAGTCTTCCGGGTGAACAGCCCCCCGAGCATTGTCATGACCGTGAGTGGGATAAGCAGAGGAAATAGCGTTATTCCAGCGATGATCGGTTTGAAACCAAGGACGACTTGGAAATAGAGCGGGAGGAAATAGTCATATGAAATGAATACGAAGCTGTGGATGCAAGCAAGGGTGAAAGAGGCAATGTTGGTGACCTTTTGGCAGATTCGGAATGGAATAACGGGGTTCTTTGCGAAGCGAGCCTCCCATACGATGAAGAGCGCGAGAATGAGGACCCCGAACAGGATGAGGCAGATGACCAAGGCAGAGTTCCAGGGTACGATGCCACCGGCACCTGTTTCGAGGCCGTAGAGGAAGCAGATTGTGCCACCTATGATGAGAAGGAACCCAATCCAATCGAGGTCCCGAAGACCGGTAATGAATGGCTCTTTGGGGGTTTCAACCTTGAGAGTGAAGAATAACACCGCCAGGGCAACGCCGTCGAACGGTAAGTTGATGAAGACTATCAATTGTCAGCTCTATGCCTCCGTATTGGATTTGGGTTATCCTTCTCACAACACCATCTCCATCCAATCGTCTGTGTAAAGACACCTCCAAGTACTGGGCCGACCGCACTCGCAATCCCGTAGACGATGCCAGTCATGCCATAGTACTTGGCCCGATCCTCCAGCTTAAAGATATCGCCAATCACAATCGTGACCAGAACCAACGATCCACCTCCCCCGAGCCCCTGTACAGTCCTCCCAGCGATGAGAACTTGAATGTCCCCAGCCAAGGCCGCGATCAGGCTTCCCGCCATGAACGTCGCCGCCGCAGTCATAATTGTGAGCTTTCGGCCGAATATGTCGGACATCTTAGCCCAGACCGGGGTGGATGCCGTGCTGGACAATGTGTACGCGCTTCCCACCCACGCGTACTCCGATGCTGTGGCTGGTGGGCGGCTGTGGCATGGCAGGGCGTCCATGGCAGGAGAGGTGGAGGCAGGAGGCAGAGGAGAGTCAGGCAGAGGGCACACATGACGGCGCGGCGACGGATCGGGCTCATTTCAGGAGGAACATAAGATGCGGTTGTGGTTACGCGATCCAGAGCACTCTGGGTGTTTCCATACTGCTCTGCGTTCGTCTCTTGGGGCTTTTCGGCCGATGTTGCTGCAGGTGAATCACCCATGACGATCCTGCTAAAGCGACTGACGCTCTGTTGGTCCTTTGTCTCAGGAATCGAATAGAATGAAACGATGCAGACTGTCCATGGGACACACTATGACACTGCTTTTGGTATAATAAGCGGCAAGCAGTTCCTTCGAGGATTCTTTTCGTTCCTTGCGATCACCATGTGGCTCGGTTCGGTTCGGTTCGGGGATCTGGGGTAATGCAGGTCGATGGGGCCAGACTAAACGATCACTTGCAGCCAATTGGCCGATCTTTGCATATCAAATCTCTGGAATTCGCTTTTGATTCATTACTCAGGTTCATTGCACGTCTTTGAGCTCCAGAGTGAAATGCAACAAGACTTCCCTCCACCCATCCAACCAAGTCGGATATGGTTGAAGAGCTCGCTCGGCCGGAACAGTCGCCAGGTCCGATATTGCCTACCACTCGATGATCTCGTCCGCCACACCGGTATACCGATCAGTCAATGGTTTCCGCATGCCCCGTAAGTTCTTTTTGGATCCAACCGAAAATGCTCTCCTGAAGTTTGCGGTCCTGACTGAGCTTCGAACCAGATTCCGCCTTAGCAATAGGACCGTAGTATTGCCCGCTCTTGGCGTCAGGGCTCACGGCTGCCCAGATCTGCGATAAGGCACCCTTCTCCACAGGCGTAGCGAAGAAGATGGCTGCGTTCAGGAAAGGTTTGAGAAACATGCCGGTGGAAGCATGGTGAAGATTGGTTGCAACCATCCCCGGGTGGACAGGAACGATCTTGACTTGTTTCTCTCGCTCTGCCAAAGCCTTGGCGTAATGGAGGTCAGCAAGCTTCGATATGGTGTATCGTTGGGTAGTAGCTCGGTTAGGCATTGTTGTTCGAATTTGTTCGAACTTGTAGATATCGTTCGGGGCTAGGGCGTGAGAACCTGAAGACAGCATGACGACACGCGTCTCGGGGTTCGTCTTGGCCGTTTCGCGTATGACAGGTAGCAGAAGCTGGGTCAACAGCGCCGGACCCATCACGTTGGTTCCGAACTGGATCTCATACCCTTCCTTGGTAAGGCCCTCGGGTGTCATCATGATGCCAGCGTTGTTGACGAGTATGTCCAACCTAGATTCTTTCTTGAGGAATTCGGCCGCGGCAGCCTTGACGCTGTCAAAAGATGCTAGGTCAAGTTCGAGGAAGGTGACGTTTGTTGTCTCGGGGTTCTGTTGTTGGAGTTCTTGGATAGCCTTTTCCGCTTTGTCTCGGGACCTGGCTGCAAGGTAGATTCGGGCTGGGTTGTGTCTGCTGAGCTGCCGTATCGTCTCGAAGCCAAGACCGACGTTTCCTCCGGTTACAATAATCACCTGATCGCGAAGATCAGGGATGTCATTGGCGGTGAAGGATGGCATCTTGGGGCGGAGCGTGCAAACGGCTCGACTATGGTGGTTGGATCGTGGCAGGTAGAGAGACTTCCTCAGATTAGCATACGTCAAGATGTTGGCAAGGAGGAAGAGGCGATTAAATACATTGGCTAGAAGTAAACTTGACTGTGAAGAACGGAAGTCTGATGGGCGGCCGAAGGTGCCACGCGGGAGCTTCGACGAGCCCGAGGGCACAATGCTTGATAAGCCGGTCAAACGAGCCGATCTGGGGCGTAAGCAAGCCATTGAAAGAGGAAGATTCAGAACCAAAGAGGAAAAGAGAACGGAGCGGGCTAGAATTTTCTTCAGGAACTTCCAGTCCTCGGCTCTCAATTGTCAGCCATAAATGCTGTCGGAGGCTCTGGCATTCTCAATGAGCCGACTCGCGACTTCCTCGTTGCTTACACCCCTGTCGGGGTCCGGCCTGGACTCGAATTTGGCAACGCTCCTTCCCTTCAATGGGATAAAGTACCTAGATACCACACTGTACCTAAGGTACGTAGATCATACCTAGATACCTGTACCGGGGCGCGGGCCGTCATGGAAGGACGGGAGGTACGTAGTCGGGAGCTCGGCGTTTGTTTGGGCCGGGACAACATCCTCGTATCACTCCGTAGATCTCGGTGACGTCCCGACGGTTCTCTGGTTCTCCTGACTTGAAGATCACGATGCCCTTGTTCAGCTGGGCACCTTATATGGCTTCAGATAACGGGCGCGTCGTGACCTGCGGCTTGAAGCATCTTCGTTCTCTGGGCATCTTGCAGCGGATGCTGTCGGCTCGAAACTCACGGAGCCGCCCTCGGAATGTCAATCCTGAGGCTTAGACAAGCATCTACGGACAGGAATTTCTTATCCAGAACGGTTCGATCTTTAGAATAATTCGACTCCCATCCTCAAGCAGTACATAATACCCCGTGCTGTAGTGGAGCGCGCTGTGTGGTTGTCTCTAATAATCATGCGATCCTTGCTTGGTGTTTGGACATCTACTGAGGACAAACTCACTACTTCGGGGTTGCGTCAGGCGCGCAGAGTTTGCTATGGCTGGCGGACTTTCAATGGCTGGCGGGTTTCTATCGAGGAAATTACCACAAGTCATTGTACGGAGGTCGCCAGTTGGCAGTGCGCGGCGACCGACAGTATTGTCAAGTATGGCGGCGAACCCCCATTCCGTTGCGTCCAGGCCGTGATGGATGACTCGTGAGTTTTTTGTCTTTCAACAGACCATGACGGCTCAAAGGAGGAGCCTTTCCGGTTGGTCCTCGACCGAACAGACCAACCTCGAATCAGCCTAGAACAAGTCTGAAGATTCCTTCTTTGCCCCCAATACTCAAGATCGGCGAATGGCAAGCTGCCCCTTCAAGCCCCGTTGACAGGGGAGTAAGCAATCTATTTCTGCGACACAGCACGTCCCACTGGACCTTTGAGTGTAGTAGGTTCATCCCAGCTAGCAAGGGAGTAAGCAAACTATTAATCCCCCATAGGAACACAATTCTGAGAGAACATCGCCCACAGCATGCTCAATAATCAAGGCGCAAAGATTTCGAGATCATTATTTTCGAGATGGAACCGAAGCAAGTAAAGGCACTAGACGATGAAGACGATTGGACAGGCGTGGCGAGCGCCGCCGAAAGACGAAGACGGCAGAACAGGGTCCACCAAAGAGCCTACCGTAGGTCCATTCCACAACCCCGCTGTCAAACATGCGATCCCGTCGGCGAAGAAGGCTGACATTGCAATCCAACCAGGGCAGAAGAGACACCTGAAGCGCATTGCTTTCAACCGTACTACAGCTTCGGCTTCCGCAGAACCTCAAGCCGAGATGTCCCTGATCCCCGCTGCTGCGCCTAGTGCGCATAGACCCATGACCTCGTCCCAGATGCAAGAGATGCTTGGGATTTACTATTTGCTCAGATGCGCCGGCATACGCGAAAACGTCGCCGAGTTCCTGCAAAGAGCCTCTTCGAACTGGACCCTGCAGCTCCCTACCCCGCGAGACCTTCCCGCTCTCACGAGACTCAACGCGTTCGACGGGCTAGCAAGAAATGCGCTGGTGTTAGGCATCCCGGTGGAATTCATCGAGAGTGACGATGGCGACTCTCTCTTCATACATCAAGGCCCCGCGCGGCCTGGATCAAGCGAGGTCCTCCCCCCTCATCTCTCACCAACGGCACTGCAAAGGACTGTCAAGCATCATCCATGGCTGGACCTATTCCCAATACCAAAGATGAGGGATAACATACTTCGTGGTATTCAGTCAGGCGAGATAGACGAAGATGAGCTGTGCAACTCTTTGGTCTGCGACCTCTTGGATTTGGACTCCCCCTCCAAATCATCGCTTGTCATATGGGGAGACGCCTGGGACTTGAATGGTTGGGAGCTGGGTCCTGAATTCTTCAGGAGATGGGGTGGGCTAGTGCAGGGCTGCCCCGAAGTGCTTGTAGCTACCAACTACTGGCGACAAAAAAGAGGTGTAGGGAAAATAAGAGAGATCAACTCGGGCGGCTCGCTGGCGTTAGAATCACATGATGATTGAAAGTTGTTTTCGGCTATTTCAGTTGCAGCTCCCAAGTCTCTCCCACTCGCTTCTCTCCCCAGGCTTGATGTTCTTCGGTGGCTTTCAACTCGAACCCGGCCTTTGCATACAACCGCCGCGCCCCGATCAAGTGGTTATCTGTTGATAAGCCAATGCTCTCGAATCCAACCTCCCTTGCAAACTCGACACAAAGCCGTATCAACTCCGTTCCCAAGCCGGACCCTCTTGCGTCCTTTTCTACAAGGAAGCATCTCAGCTTCGCTTTGCCTGCTGTTTCGCGGTCCTTGATGAGCATGATGGAGCCCAAAAACTTGTCATCTCTCTCCGCGATCCAGCATCGTTCTTTCGCTGGGTCGAACTTGAGGAGGAAGTCTGCCGTGATTTGGCTGACCATGGCCTCGAAGAGCGCGCCATAATTGTATTCTTTGGAGTAGATTGCGCCGTGTCGGTGGGTGATGTAGCCCATGTCCCCCGGGCGGTGGTTCCGGATTGTAATGGAATTGAGAGCATTGGAGCCGTTGGTTGAGACCATCTTGTGCGGATCGGCAATGTGCTGCAGGCTGGACGAGTACTGGTCCCTTGAGTTCTCAAAGACAATGCAGCGACTGGGAGACTGTAATAGCTAATGATCTGATCGCGAAACTTCAAACCGTCGCCAATCGGATTCTCTTATCACTTGTGGGAGGGGGCCTCTCTTGATCAGCGGTGAGCTTGTTCCTGGCCTCGGGCCTCTGGTGGGGAATGTCATAGCCATGTCATCCAAGGGCGCACTGTACTTAAGCGCCACGCTGCATGTCATATTTAGTGTCACTAGCAGACACCAGTGACCTCAGAGAGTCAGCTTGGATGCTTCTAGAGGCTTCTGAATTAGCCCGCGCTCAGCAAAGATACCACTGGCAGATAAGATTTTAGTAGTGTCAAGCTATCATCAGAACTCGGGAATAGTAATGCAATCCTCTGGCAGGAGAAGCTAGAACTCGAAGTTCAGATACAGTCACTTAACCGTGTATCGAAAAGATTCTAGAAAGGACATGACTCAAAGCAGTGTGACTGGTCAAGTCTGGTTCTTCGCAGCAAATGACTTAAGGTACATTAAAGAGACGGGTGAAAGTTCCATATTGCAGCTCTTGTCACTCTCGAGCCTAAGAACCCATACGGAATTACTGTACAAGGATGGTCCGACAAGCCCGACTACTACAATGCCATCTCTAGATAGATAGGACTCCAGCGACAAGTACCAGTGAAGCACCTGCTGGCTGGCGTAACACGCCGTTCAACTCCTCCGGACTGCTAACCCCCGTCCACAAGACATCTCAGAACCTCGAATAATTTCGCCAAGCTCACCCGCATGTATGACATGTTAAAATCCATGATATTCTGAGGATGTTCTGAAATTCAGATAAAGTCTGACTGCCAGCTCTCCCGGCGATGCACCCAAATTGTCACTAAGCATTTCTCACCTCTCCAGTCCAACCATATCATGACACTGAATGACTCCAATAAACCAAACATGATGCACCCGAGAGCCGTAGATCCTCGGGATAACCTACAGACAGAATGCAGCCACCCTTCCTCGTCATACTTTGGTATGTCCATGACTCCACACACCCATATCTGTGCTGCAAGAATATCCAATCTGGAAACGGCAGAGAATTTGCGTAATTGAGGTCGAAGTGCGAGGATTGTCCAATACCGGCGAGCGTATATGCCATGGACATCAATGCGAGGATGACGCTGACGATTAGCATGAGAACAAGGCTGAATCGCGCCCACTGCACCATCTAAGATAAATCATCAGCTGGCGTTGTCGGCGGTAGCTGCGACCATGATCTCCATTAGTGTAGTCTACGTGCCTGGACAGGGCCTCGTGAAAAGGCACGAACGGCAATGAAAGAGACAGTGATTGAGGTGAAGAGACCGATTACTGCGTTTGCGAGGTGCAACTCGTAATATAGAGGCAGCATTTTTCGCGGATCGTATCTCATGGTTTGCCCGCCGCCGTAGTATTGGGAATTACCGGGAACCTGCCTGAAGATGCCGCTCTTATACTTATAACGGCACTTTCTCTCCTTCTTGGCAAGTCGGAACTTGTTGCAATGATGGCCCCATCACAAACGCTTCTTCGGGTCCCTTGAATGGACACTTGTCGCCTTCATCATAATGGGATGGACAGGAATAGTTCTGCTAAAGATGCTGATAGTATAAATCACCATTCATCTTCCCAAGGTAAGATAAGAATGAGCCTGCACAATGACAAGCATTACACGAGCATCTTCAAAGCAGATTACCGCTAGAACTCTACCAATCATTCGTGCTGATATCTCTTCCCATCAAAATTGACACCAAGATGCATTCCTCCACTCTCAGGTTAGCCTTGGTCGCTCTGATCGGATTGATTACTTTCTTCAACAGTTCCCAGGCCCTGCCCATATGCCTCGAGGTTTCCCAGGAAGTAAGTAGATTCAGACTGAACTGAGACAATTACACTAATACTTCCAGTATACTGAGAAACATCTTCCATACTGCATTCCCCGTCTCGATAGTCGAACTCCAGCACCACCATCCAAGCCTCCCAAGAATCCTGCTCTCAACGAAAAGTTGCCCGGCAGTAACACCCCTAGCGGTGCAGGCCGTGGACCCGGTGGCTTACCTGGCTCAACTCCACTAAAACAAGCACCTCCTGTAAGTCACTCACACAACACCGAAGCAACAAACTCAGAATGAAGGCATTTGCTGATGGTGAGTGGTAAAATAGACTGCGAAAACCCCCGAGCAAATCTTGGCCCCTGGCAATGGCTGGACCGTCACTATATTCGATGGACTTGCCAACAGGGGCTTCAAAGTCAACCATAACAAATACTCAAATGCAGTATCCGGCAAAGTCAACGCGAAAGAGGGATCCTTGATTGTGTCTCACGCTAAGATGAATGATGCCAACAAATTGGTTCCCCTTGATCAACAAGTCAAATTGTCGAACATTCAGGTGGAGGTCCTAAAAAAGGCAGGAATTACCCCGGAGAAAACGAAGAAGCTTAGTTGCGAAAATGTCCAGGAGTCAAGCACTATTCCGGTGCTACAGGCCGCCATGATAGAAAAGGGATCCGCGCGAGAGGTGGACTCTTTTACCGTTAGCGCCTCTGCCACTGGTGCTGACAAGAAGATTTTCGATGACATTTCGAAGACCATGTTTGGGAAGAATGCAAATTGGGTCAATTCGGACTACGTCAAGAAGGGCGTTTCGGGATATCGAGTCTATGGTGGCTTGAAAACCCCCAACTTGGACGCCCTCTTCCCTTGAGGCTCCCTTGCTTTATATAGCAACGCCCGGCAACAAGCTGTGCCTTTGCTCCTTCTAGAGGGCAACCTCGTACCCAGATCAATTCTGGCAACCAGGTGACGTTTGCGCATAGGCTGTTACAAATCATCTATCGCCAAATTCCTACTTTGCTTCTCCGGACTGGCTTGAGACAGTCCACATTCCTATCTTAGTTGATTCATGTTATCTTTGCTTGATTCAATCAGAAATACGAAATATTCGACAAAAGATTGAGCGTTGAAGATGTCTTGGTACCCCAAACTCCCTCACAGCCATCTTCTCTTTCATTGCGCTCTTGCAAGTGTGTTGCACTAATTCCACCAGCGTGAATTCCACCAGCGTTGACGTTGACCCCATCTCACTTGGTCTTGTAGTTATCATTGCAGGTGTCTCCATCGCTATTGACGTATACCGTGCCGTATACGTACACAGCGATGGAGACACCTGCAATGGCGTGGTCTTCGTCAAAAGGGTTGCATTGCATCAGACGGACCCAAAACGTTGGCTTGCATCAACCCGCGTGTAGCAACCAACAAACAAGCCAAGAGCTTACAGGGGAAAGAGCGATCCCCAGAAGATGAGTATAAATAAAACACTGAAGGCCTGCCCAAGTCTCGCGCTGGTAATACTATTGACCCGACTCTCCACCCCAAACATCAACGTAACATCCAACAAGCCGTGTAGCCACCGACTTCTCACAATGCACATCCTCGATTTCCCCCAAGAATTGATTCACAAGATTCTTTTTCACATGGTAATATCTAGGGGCGTCACACGAGCCATGAGATTGCGCCTCGTGTGTAGTAAGTAAAGTCCGATTTTCATTTTGGCCTTGCTTGAAGCGGGCGGTGTTGACTCATCTAGAGCTGTTCCGGGACTCTTTGAGGGCTGCATTGTTTGAAACTCGTCTCCTTGATGAATTCGAACACTTGTCACTGTACTCTGGTGGCCGAAACGAGGAATTCATGAGCGACTGGTACATAAGGGAACATCACGGCCTCGAGGAGTTTTGGCATGCTTACATCTCCTATCGAGTTCGAAATGAGACCAATCCAAACGTTGGCCGTCTACTTGAGGTTCGACAAGTTGCAGAGGCTTACTGCACTCGGACTGCCGCGGCGAACTTAGACAGCACCATCGACTCGCTGTGTTGGATGACCCTGGAGCGAGCCGCGAGATGGCCTACCGTTGCTCGCATGTGGACTCTGGATATTGAAAAAAAATGGACGAATTGCTGAAAATGGTGTAGTCACGGATTTAGGACTCAATCTTCCCAGTGCAGCAGCGTATCTCGGGAACTTGCCGCTGGCCAAGGAGTTGTTGGAAGAGGGCCACTGCCCAGCAGACACCAACGAGCTTTTCGACACGCCCTTGCAACTTGCCGCCTGGTCACGCAATGCCGAAATCTTTCAGCTCTTCCAAGAACGAACCGGTAGAACTTCGATTACGGGAGCTGCAATGTCCGGGGATGTGGAGATGCTCCGCTTAGCCATCTACCCCCCCTCGCGAGCCGATTCGGGCAGCACAGACTTCGCCGGGTTCCCGTATGGACACGTTCTCATTGACTCATCGGATGGCCAGGTTTACGAGCTTTACCGAGCAGTCTACAAAACGAGATCAGTGGACGCGTTCAAATACATCTGTTCTTTTTTGAGCATGAAGAGTATGGATATCATATGCTGAATAATGTGATTCGGCCCCATTGCGAATGGGGAAACCTGGATATCGTCAAGCACCTACTTGAATCCAGTGGTGGACTATCGTCAACGAGATTCAACGTTTATGGCATCAATTCTTCGGGTGACAATTGTCTCACCGGGGCTGCCCGTGGATGGCGGGAGGACGTCCTTGACTATTTGCTAGAGTCCGGCATGGACTCCAAAGGGGTCATGGGCGACATTCCCCCACTGGCCGCGGCAATACGTGCTGGAAGTCTTTCCATGGTACGGAAGCTTGTCAACCATGGCGCGAGTCCGCATGATTGGGACGGAGAAACCCTGCTTCAGTATGCCGTACGTCTTGAGCATACAGCAATACTTGAGTTCCTCCTAGATAGAGATGTCTGCCGTGATGAGCTGTCAGAGTTGGAATATGTTAGGCAAAGAGCAATGGATTTGGGGCTGGAATCAATGGCTGAAATTATACACCGACGGGAGAAAGAGTGGAACGCCAAGAACGTGGTGAATACATGTACTACATAGTAGAGGTGTTCTTGCTGACTTCTACGTCCGACTATTGTCAAATTAGCCTACCATATTCCTCTTAGTTCGCAGTAGAATCGAATAACCAACCAGGTCTCGTTTCCAACGGGTATGAGTGCTTGACACTACAGTCAACGCACAGGTCAAAGGTTGCATACAAAGGCCAGTGCCATTGTTCCTCTTTGGCATCTGGTCATTCATCTCTATGACAGGTAGAGTGGTCATTCAAATGGCAGGTTTTCGTTGTCTCTGCTCAGTCATGGCCAAGCTAGCAAGACCTCTTGATCATTTTGCTGGTCTTTGGATTGATAGCGATTCTTCGTTTGGAAGCAAGTGCCTTTGGTGCTGAAAAATCCGGAGAGCAATGGTAAGTTGAGCACTAGCATCAATGACACTTTCCTGCTGTGGTAAAGAAAAGCTCGACAGTCTCCTGTTCTGCCATGTGAAGGTTAGGGAGCTTAAGGCATGGAATTGGAAGGCTGTCACAGATTCGAAAATGAACATCCAGAGTGCGTTTAACAATTATTGCAATAATAAGTCGACCCACCCCCTTTTGGCCACCCCCCCCCCCATTTGGCCACCCTAACAAAACATAATATGGAAAATATCGTTACTAACTATACTTAATTAATTAACTACTTTTTATTACTATAATAATATAATTATTATTCTCCTTAAATAATTTAACCCCTATAAATTAACTAAGATTAACGAAATAATTACTAAAATCTTCCTAAGCTTTTATATATTTTAAATATTAATAAACTTAGTATTTAGGTTTATTAATATATTTTTTTAGCCTTAATTAATTAATTTTAGTTTTTAGAACTCGAATTTAGTACTAAAATATAACTAAATAATAAGTTTACTTATTAAAAGCTTTTTATTTTTTAAATAATAAGTATTAAATATTATAATCTAGACTAAGCTCTATAAATAATTTTAATTACTTATAAAACTCGCTAGTCTTTTTAAAAATTAACTAATTAATAATAAATATTATTAATACCTAGTTAACTACTTTTTAGTATTATTAGTTATTTATTTAATATTTACGGTCTTTTTAATTAATATAATTAGTATTAAAAGATTATAGGATTAATAAATAATTTAAATATATTAAAGGGATATAATTTAGTTACTTTTTACTTATTTTATATATTTAATAATATTAAATTAACTAAATAAATTTTTAAATAATAGTTTAAAAGTATTATTTTTAATAATAATAAAATTATTTATTATATCTTTTTACTAAGCTCTTTTTATATTTAAATTTAATAAGTTTAAAAATAGTTATATTTAATAATTAAAAGATATAAGAAGTATATAAAAATAAGAATAGTAAATAAATATTATTTTTATAATATTTTTATATAAATTTAGTTGTTATATAACTTTTATATTTATTTAAAATTAATAATTAAAGCTTATTAAATAAGTTAAGCTCTTTAGGGTTTAATTTATAATAAAAACATTATTTTTAATTATTTAAAAATAATATTATTAATAATTTAATTATTATTTATTATTATAAACTCTTAAGTAATATATAAGTTAAGTTTAAATAAAAATTATTATTATTATACTAACTTTTTTATATATAATTAGTAATTTAATAACTTAATTATTAATAAAAATATACTTAATTATAAATACCTAAGTACGTAAACTAAGCTTTTTTTATATTATTATAGTTTTAATTATATTTAAAATTAAGTTATTATATTTTTACTTTTTAGGATATTAATTTTATTTATATTATACTTATTAACCTATTTAATATTACTAATCTTTAGTATATTAAGTAATTTAAATTATAATTTAATTATATTAATAATAGCCCTATTTAAATACTATAAATTAATAATATAACTTTTTAAACTTTAATTAGTAAGTTTTTTTAAAAACGTTTATTTATCTTTTTTAAGAGGATTTATATTCCTTAAGATCTTAGAACTTATTTAATAAATTCTCTAACTTATTTATAAATTAATATAATACTTAAATTATATTAAATATAAATTTATTAAGCTAATTAATTTTCTTATTATAAAAGAAGCTTTTAGAGGTTTATAAATATTATTATTTTTATTTAATAACCTCTTTTATAATTACGAAATATTAATTTTAAAACTCGAACTTAATCGAGGCCTTATTAATTAAAAGACCGTTTTTAATAACTATAAAAGCCTAATTAATTTTATTTTTAATATATAAGATTATAATATATTAATAAATAAGTATATAAAAAAGAATTATATTTAGACAATTTTTATAATTATTATAATAGTTTATAAATTAAGGATAGGGTTTTAATGTAATAGCTAGGATAGAGAAATGGGGTAGCCAAATAGGGGGGGTGGCTAAAAGGGGGTGGGTCGACTTATTTAGGTGAAATCTTGTATCTCCGGAGTATATCTTCTGGTAATGGCCTTACCGAGAGGTCTGCGCCTCAGGCGCCTAGGGCACCTCGGTGAGGCCTTCAGATCACCAAATCACGTGTCGAAGAGGCATCAACATACACGCTCCTTCCTCTCTTCTGGATGGAAAGAATTTTAAGCGAGGCGCTAGTGAGGTTGTGTGCCTCACTGCTTCTTCGTTAGCTGCCCACACGATCTCCTCCTGTCAACATCACGATCCCAACTTTCCCATCCACCAACCTTGTCCCCCACAACAACCTCATCTAAACAAATCCACCTTGAGCGCACGTCGACGCTAGGTTCCCTTTTTCACGCCAGTCAAGGCGTGGAGTTGACGCTTTCCCACTCACCTTCACTTGTTCTCCCCCTACAGGCTACATCTTACCCCTGATCGTACACCTCGATACAGCAGCCAAGATGGTGGCGCACAGTCAGCTGTCTCTTCGATCCTGTGCTTCTCTATTCTTTTGGACTGCACTTGCTCTTGTCCAGGTTCCCCTTTCTTTGTGTGGTCCTGTCCACATTCACGATGCTTCGCCACGAGCTGCCTTTGTCTCGCTGGTGTCCGAACAGCAAAAGGAGCAGATGGTAGCCTCCGTTGCCCAGCTCGAGCAGCGATTCAACCACAAGTACCGCTACGATTGGGTATTCTTCAGCCACGAGGAGCTTAGCGAAGAGTTCAAGGACGCTACCTCCAACGCTACTGCCTCAACTGTCACCTACAACCTGATCCCCCAGCAACACTGGACAATTCCGAGCTCTGTTGACCCCGGTCGCTTCGAGGCTGGTCTGGTGCGCACTTAGGGAGTGCACGCCGACAAAGCCCTCATCAAGACTGCCCATCACAGGCGTCGCTGGTCTGCTGGACTCTTTGCCCGAGAGAAGCGTCTTCAGGCCTACGAATGGTTCTGGATGGTCGAGCCTGGCGTGAGTTGGCATTATTCTTTCTTCCCGTCTCCCCTTGGCTTTGTCTTGGCTAACAAGGCTCTTGTTCTAGACCAAGTTCCTCTGTGACATTACAGTCGATGTCTTCCGTCTCATGCGAGACCGCGGAATCGCCTATGGAGTCAATGAGGTTTCTTTCGAGGGTGCCGCTGACTCTGAGCTCCTCTGGAAGAGCACCAAGTCCTTCATGGATACGCATCCTGACATGGTCCGACCGACTGCCGATATCACCTGGATCCTAGGCAACAGTGCCAAAGCCAACAAGCCTACTCGCTCATCAGACTACTACGTGGATGGGGCTGACGATATGGAGAGCCTCGACCTGGGCTTGGAGGACGAGGGCTGCAGGGCCATCGGACAGGGAACTGAGGGTGACATGCTTCCCGGCGTTTTCCTTAAAGCTGATCCTCAGCAGTGCGAGCCAAACACGGTTGCCGATGCCTTTACCACTCGGCTTGCTGCGAGCTACGACCAGTGTGACATGGACACCCCTATCGAGATTGGCAATCTCAACCACTTCCGCGGACCTGAGCACAGCTCCTACTTTGACTTTCTGGACAATGCCGGCGAGTTCTACTATGGAAATACCAGCAACGTTCCTGTCCACTCTCTGAGTGCCAGCATGTTCCTCCCACGCGACAAGTTCTGGCTCCTCGGTGACATGGTTTGCGAGATGCACGGCCTCCACAGCTGCCCTCCGATGCCTCACCCGACCTTCAGCTCCAACCTGCAGACCGACAACAACCCCAACTACCTGGCCGATGTAGTCGAAGCCTCTTGGTTTGGCGCCTATAAGGACAACCAAGTCTTGCTCATCCACCGCGTCTGGGAGAGAATGGCGTCCGATATCGCCCGCCAGAGAGGTATCCCAGCAGCCCAGCTCGGACACACTGCCCTCGATGAGCGTAACTTCAAGCTCTACAAGCCCGAGAGATACCCAGTTGATGTCACACTGACTTGGTACTCGCTGGAGGATAGCTGGCGTTCCTGGTCTTGCGATCGCCTCAAGTGGTTTCTTGGGGTGTTGGGATGGTAAACTTTTGATATGGAAATCAGAGTTAGCCCCTGGGGCTCGGGCTTTCATGGAGAGCCAGAGACGGCGCTTCCAAACAGCAGGGCAAGGGGGTTCAGACTTGGGATTTCACTTGTTTCGCGGTACGATTTAACCTACACAGCTTCTATCAGCACCAGGTAGCCATCCTCAAAGAATGACTGATGATTCATACCTAACATTTCCGCCTGAACTGCCTAAAGTACCTGCCTATTCCACCTACGTGAAGTATTTTGTGGTTTTTTCTGATCAATATGACTGTGAGCATGCATGTGAACATAGCGCCAGGCAAGACTGTGAACATGGCGCCAGGCAGGACTGGGAATTCACCACACGGACGTGTTTTGGGAATCATCCATGGATACAGGAAAACCATTGAGCTAATCAAACTTGTACATTGAATGCTACGGGAAAAACAAATACGTTCCTTCGTACCTCAACCTCAGCATCGCATAACGAACCCACCTTGCCGGTAACAATGTCAACCTTCCCCATAATCTCAGTGGTCGTGGTCCTCATTGCGGTAAGGCCAATCCGAGTAGGCTTCATCATCTGTGCTATCATTCGCGTCCTCTTCCATCTGTCTCTCCCGCCCCATGGAAGCCATGGCCCTACAAGCGACGCAATTGTCCACCATCTCAATATAAGACACTGGCCCTGCAACCGTATACTCGCTGAACTCCATGCTGACTAGTTTGTAGTAATCGTTGAAGTCCGCCGTGATGAGTAGCTGATGATCGCGAGGACTGGAAAGGCCATGTTCGTCGTCGACTCTGTACCACGCATGGCATGCCATGTGGCCTTGACCGTAGGTGTAAAGGAGTGGAACAAACTTCATGCGGGGCTCAGCATTGTATTGGCTGGCGAAGTAATCGTTGATTGTCTCTCTGCCTTCAAACGTTGTTCCCTCGTAACGTGGAAGATCGATGCTTGTCGTCAAAGTCGCGTCGGCGGCGAACCATTCCCAGCTACTATGGAGACCTCCGGCGTTGATGTTGTCTATGAGGGGTAGGAAATGAGTGTGCAGTATGTCTTCGAGCCATTCTACGTTCTCGTCATTGGACCAGAACTGGCAGGCATCCTGAACGGGGTCAATTTCGGAGAAACCATTCATGGTGAAGACCTGAAGTAATGTTTAGCAATGCAACAATGACGGCAAACTTTCTCTCCCTTGCAGCTTACGGGATCAACGGGAAGTCTTTGCCTGTTTTCGAATAAGTATCAGACAATGGATGCGCTCTGCGAGGTTATGGGATGATGGCAAAGAACCGCGAGCGCAAAACGTAGATGGACGCCGTGTTGTTTTGGGTGGGGCGACAGAAGGCCAGGAGGAATTATGGCAAGTGATTCTGACAGCTCCTGCGGGGCCTTGGAGGTTCCTTCGCGTTTCCAGTGAGTAGGAGAAGAAAGAGCGAGTATGTCGGGCTTGCAGACGAAGGAGGTCGTCGAAGAAGTTGCGATGCAAAATCACCAGGCAGTCGTTCTTGAGAACGCTTGCCTGCCTGTGCATAGCAGAGCTCACTTGCCACTGAGTGCCTTCTAACGGTGATAAGAAATGATTTTTTTTTCTCTTCTTTTTTTTTCTCAATCCATGCTAATTACATATTCAAAAGGTAAGTTCCTCAATGTTTCCAATGATATATGTTCGAGCTTGCGCCTTCTGAGTCCCATCATTGCACCTTATTCTTTGCGGTAGCTGACTTCGAAATGCCTCTGCTATCACGCAGTTTCTTCGCTGACGCTTTCCAAGTGCAGATCAACTTTTCGGGCTCTTGTTGCCTCGACAAGCTGGTTGAATGCACAGTTGAGCGCCACGGTCTTTGAGTACCTGAACTCCACTCTCTTGATCATGACATTTTTGTCGAGGAATATCACAAGGGATCCCCCGAACTTGCCGACGCGGAAGTCCCCTTTCATATCCTCCTCCGCTTTGAGCGCCTCTTTAGTCTTTCTCGCCTCCTCAGTCTTGCTCGCCCCCTTGGTCGTGGCTTCCCGTATCAACCCCTCCCAGATAGAGAAGATTTGGCCCTGTATAACCAATGTTGAGATTGGGATATATCTGCTGGTTCTGACTTTCTCTGCAGATGGACTGTCGCTTCCAAGTGCTTCGATTATGCTGCACTTTTCATTTACGACGTAATCTGGGTACCTATTTTCGTCAAGTGACGGGTCGATCAAGGTGCAGTCGTCGGCAAGCCATTCTAGGACACCTTTATCGACCGTGGCCAATCCTTGCATGAAATTTTCAGCCGCCTCTTCTAGCAAGCGACGAACTTTCAAGTTGTTGTATTTGACCCCAGTGCCGCTCCCTTGTTCCTTCACTTCCTTGATAATGTCAAGGACAGGACGAATGGTTTGGTCAGAAGCAGCCACTACACACAATTTTAGATGGGTATCGCATCACTAAGGTGCATCTTCCTTACTTTCTACAGATACGTGGGCGAGCTTTTCTAGTGGTCGATGCAGTGAAGCGTGTGATAAGGCGGTGTTCAGGCGAGTCTTGGTCGATCAGATTCTGAAGATGACGTTTTGGTATTCTTTTCCGTTGTCACGAAAGTGCGCTTGGCCAAATTTGAAACTTCAGACTGGCGTTTGAACATTATTTAAGAAACATTTGAATTTGGGCCTCCTTGGTAGAGGATAGTACACGACATACGATGACTTCCAAGTTGGGAAAGCCGGAAGTCAAGACAAACAGGGCCCGTATGTTGGTGAACAGGGCAACAAGGCGAGAACAAGGCCACAGAATGTGGCGCCTGAGAGCGCGTATTATTACGGCAGTAAAGTGATGATTTAGGAGATGTGGCGGCGCAGGTATTCGGTAAAGGATGCAACCCTCACAATTTCGCTTCCAAACTCACATCACCATGTCAGTGGGTGTTGGGAAAGTTGTCGGGATTGAACAGACGAGAGCTTGGTAGGCCGCACAAAGATGATGCTCCCTTTTCTTTCTTATCTCGTCATGTCACTGTTCAGGTTGATACCCTTCCTATTCACTAGTTCAAGATCAGGATCGAGGGAATGGACCTTACGTCACGAAGGTTGATATTGAGGCACAGGCACTATGTGGCGTCACGATCTCGTGTTACCACTCCCCTTCAGGACTGAACAGAAGAATAACAACTTCACTTTGAGGGTGTGCTCCTAGACTTATTGAGGGAAGTTCAGAAGTCTGCTGACTATCATATGCCTCTGTGTCATCCTCAGGTCTAGACCCCTTAAAACCTCAATCTTCTTTCTCCTGTCATTGTTCACAACCAGGAACCAAACCTATCTTCCTCGTACAACCACATGTGACTCAATTAGCAGTGGCATGAGTACTTGAGTTTCCTGATCATGGTGCGAATGTTGGTGATACGTCCGCGGTCGGCGATGCGTGGTTTCGACACAGGTAGTGGTTCTATTGAACTCAGCAAACTGCCCCATGGCTACTTGTCTTACATGTCGGATTTTGCCTTGTCTACCTGAACATGGCATGGCCATACACCCTCCAGTCATCACTGATATAGCTTGATTTTGAAGTTTTCTTAGACCATTCCAGGCTTAGATTTGAACAAATGGCTCCGGTAGTAAAGTACCCTTGAGAGTCCATGTTCCGGGGGGCGGTTAACAGTGTGCTCGCGTATATAACTTTCCTTATCTCCGAACCTCCGCATTACCAAAGTGAAGGAGTGCTTGGGTTGCCCTCGCCAGACAATCTACGTCGCCATGTATGGTGATCTTCGTGACTTCGAGTTAATTTGGATCTGAGATATTTATATAGGTGAGAATTATGATTTCCGTCGACTTTGAAGAATGTTTTTTGAGACTTAAGGTGAACATTGAACGATGCCATGATCCGAAAAATTCAAGATCAGAGGCATGGGCCGCTTAGCCTTCTGAGGAGGAGGTAATACATCAACATCCACCTGCTGCCTGATACCTGGCTCGCTCGCGTACTTCCTTCGCGGTCTACCTAACTGACCGATACCAATGTGCCTGGGGACTTACCTACACAAAGTCCAAGCATCTCAGCTGGCCGTCAAATCTGGTGACTAGTGTCACTAGCCTGCCATGTAAAACCTGATTCGAACCTTGTTCAGGGACTGCAACAAGCGCGGATGGCCCAAGTTTGGAGAGGCGTTTGCCCAGGATGCGACTCTTAACATGAGACCAGATGTTCCGAGTCGAATCTACAAGAATCGTGACGATACTCAATCTCTCCGGCCGCGGCCGCGTCGCCTGCCATGTGCACGAAGTAGCAGATGGAGTTTCTCGAGAAGGCTGGGTCATCATCAGTCAGAAGATTTTCATCCTCGATATCGACAACGCAACCCAAGTCCAAAAGGTAGAGTGTCGATCCATCGTAGGTGAAACCCATCTGTTTATCAGTGATAACTTCGAGTTTTTCATGAGGGATGATGCATACACTGAGTCCACCGTCGAGCCATTCTCTATGCCTAGGGAAGCGATGGCAGTTTTAGAGTCGAGGAAATTCTGACCTCGTGCGAGTGACACTTTTTTTGATGCAATGGGATGAGGCAGTGAAGAATTTTGGCGAGTTCGGTGCAAGAGTCTGGTTTACACGAATGAAACATGCATTTCGTCCTCATTCTTCGAAGAGACCTGGCACGAAGCTCGCTATTGATATAGAAAAGGATGCCATTGTGCATTTACTTTGACCAATGCAGGTAGATAGTCTGATCGATCTATGACAGATGTTCGCGTTCTTGCTCGTAATGGCACAAAAATGTCACGAATTCAGGTCTAGAATGAGAGCTTGTGCTTGAAATCCTTTTCTGTGATTTATCGATCTTGGGATGTGCCTATCTTTCATCCTCAAAGGTTTTGACCGTCTCCTTGAAGCCCAGAGACCTTCTCTAGAATCCGAAATTCTCCTTCATGGCCACAACGTCCTTCTTAGACTCCTTTGCAGCGTCTCTCATTTCCTTGAGGCTACCGTCTGTGGTGATGGTCTCTTGATCTGTGTCTCGGAACTCGATGCGTCTGATGAGGTACTTCTCGTCCACATCAAAGATGCAGACCATGCGTGCTCGCTTGAACTTCGATGCAGCCTTGGCTGCGACCTCACTTTCGTAAACTGTCTCAATCCAGAAAGCCTCAAAATAGCAAGTAGCTCTGCCCCTATCGACGACTAGGAGCTTGACAACAGTGCTTTCATGTTCCTCTTGGTTATATTGATAGTATTCGATGACCTTGTCCGCACCATTGTAGATAGAACCCGGGCTATCCAGACTGCCTACGAGCTTGGCGTCCTCTCTCAGGTAACCCTTGGCCGCGTCCCAGTCTTCTCTCTCGATAGCGTTGTAGAAGCTTCGAGTTCTGGTGTCGATGACACTACGCATGGGGCGATCTGACACCTCGCCATTCACCTCAGCGGTGAATTGCTCAAGGTCATCTCGGTCAGCGGACATGATGACGTTCTTGCCGCAAATTTGAAGTCAGCATCAGTTTAGGAAGGTGCAGAGAGTATTCAAGAGTATACCTGAGATTTCTAAGTCGAGAGACCAGTCTGAATTTGAGTAGTTCGGAGGTGGCTTGGCTTGAAGGATAAGCGATGTTGAACGGCAGCGGTAGATGGCCGTGTTTGCGCGGTGCCTCCGGTGATTCTCTCATGCCAAAGGGGATAAATAATTAGAGCAATGTTTCTAAGACGCGATGGCGAAGCTGGACACCAAAGACCCTGGGTGGTGATTGTGGTGGTCGTGGCAACGTCGAGTGGTTGGAGGAGGGAGAAAGGGGAGATGGAGGGAGGGCTGGAAAGTGTTCGACTTTTAATGGGAATTGAGATAGGCGGAGAGCGGTAGAAGAAAGACGGAAGGTACGATTTTAATTCAAAGGGCAAGTACGTATCCAAGGCTTTTATTCCTCCTGGCGTGTTCTCATTCACGAGATCGTTCCAACGTACCTAGGCAGCTCGATTCACGTTTGGAGCCCTACCTAGCAGATAGGCAGAAGGACAACGCGTACTTGAATCGCTTGCTTCCTCTAAGACTCAGTCACTCTCTTAATCAAACTAATTTTGAGAGCTAGGCTTCCCAGTCGTACTCATGGTGATATCAAAGTCTACCCTCCTTCCTGAGAACAAAAGCTGAATGACTGTCCGCATCCTTGCTGATAACCAGCAGAGCCCATCATGTCCTCGAGCACTAGGATCTAGTCAGCGAACCTTTTAACACTCTTGCAACTGCCAGAATTCTCACAATTTGGACCGACTTGCAATAATAAGCGACAAGCTTCATTCTCTTCCCAGCCCTCTGGGCAGCAGCCCGAACCCTAAATAATCTGCAGTATGATCAGCCCTTTGACCCGTATTCTCCGTGTATCGTTTGAGCAGTTTACTCGAATTCAATTCTTTTTTTGAAGGCAAGATCATGAGAATAAGAGAAAATTGAAGCATAAGGACAGTGGTAATAGGGATAGAGGTCACCGATGCGATGACCGGCATAGCATCGTACCCCCCACTTGAAGCCCGAATGTCCCACAAAACTGCCCCCGCGACCGTGACAAGCAACGGAGCGAAGGGACCCCACCCGGAGCGAGCTTACCGAGAGAGGTATAGCAGGGAACCCGGCAGATGGTCTACCCCACCTCACCGGCCCAAACTTCCATTCCCTTCACAGACGGGTGATGGGTGGCTCGCAAAGTCTCAATCCGGGCGGGCATGACGTGAGGTGACGGACATTTGTTCGGAGGCGGGGGTTGAACGTCCCGCTCGAACCCCCTCCTCCGCATGCAGTCTCGAGCTCAACCCTCGTAGAGTTAGGTTTCGTACGGATCCGGGCACCACAGACCAAAGGTGGGAGTTTCAAGTATCTTCCAACTACATCCTCTATTCATTCATTCATTTGGGCATCGGGCCACGATGCCGAACCAGATATCTAAGCAGTGGTATAAGGACGAGTACCTCATCTCTACCGACCGGTCGCTAGTCGACCTCAACGCCGTGAACGATGCCTTTGACTCTGAGCTGCTATGGTGGACGAAGCGCGTTCCGGAAGTCGCTCTGAAGAGGCTGATAGACAATTCGTTGTGTCTGGGGGTGTACAAACTCCCACAGTCTACCTCCGACATTGCAGGTATGTCGACAAGCCTTCCGTCGCTTTTTCCCTAGGTTCGTTGTCTAACCCTCGAGAAGGAAAGAAAGGCCCTGAACTGGTGGGCTTTGCCCGCATCGTGACGGATTATGCCACCATTGGGTATCTGGCGGACATCTACGTCCTCCCCACGCACCAAGGCAAGGGACTAGCGCCGTGGCTGATGCAGTGCCTGAACGAGATCTTGGACGAGTGGCCCGACTTGCGACGCTTTCTGCTTCTGACGTCCTCGCCGCAAGCGAGTAAGCTGTATGAGCAGGCCTTGGGGACAACGGAATGGGGCGTGTCACATTCAGGGAAGCTGTATCTGCTGGAGAAGCGCGGCCCTGCAATGCCCAACGGTCCGTCAGACGAGGAGGATGAGGATTGAGTGCGGGCCGCTTTGTGGTATTAAATCGTTGTTGTCATAATCATGCCTTAATTGACGTCTTGCCGTATGCTCCGCCAGCGGCCTTTCTCAACTCAATTGCGCGCTTGTACGGGGGTGCCGTCGGTGGCTGGACAGGGTCCAAAGAGACGTGATCCTCGGGGAGTTGGTATGATGCGTCAGAATCAAACGCCGACAGGTCACCACATGCGATGAAGGGTGCAATCCACCTAATGTGCTTATCGTGATCCGTCGTCTCGTCCGTCTCGTCGTAGGCTTCCACCTCAACAACCTGGCCATCTCCCCTCGTCGCAGACGCCGTAGGAGCAGAGTCCCATTTTCCAGTTAGAGGGTTCTGCATAAGCGCATCAGCAATGACAGGCAGCTGGCTCCTCCTCTCTTCGACCATCTTGGGTAGCTCGTGACCAACACCAAGCGGGTTCTCGAGACTGGCCTGGAAACCAGCAGGGGGCTGGAAGTTGATGCAGACGATGAAGGCCTCCACACTGCTAGCACGAGAGGATCTCGGCTTCGCGACGATGACAGTCTCGAAGAAGATCTTGAGTTGCGCGTAGAGGAGATCGACGTTGCGGCCGCGGAAGATCTTGGCGACGAACTTGCCGCCGGGCTTCAGTACGCAAAGAGCGAGGTTGAGGGCGGCGAAGAGAAGCTGGGACTGGACGTAGATATCCAGGTCGTGAAGGCCAGTGACGTCTGGAGCACCATCGCTGATGACTAGGTCGACACGATGACTAGCTTGCTGGCTCTTGGAGTTGGCGGCGTCATAGTCGGGATCCAAGGCCTTGAGGAGAAGGGGTACCGTGGCGGGGTGCGTGATGTCGGCACGCAGAGTAATGATGCCGGGGAGAGGGCTGATGGGTTGCAGATCGATGGAAACGATCTTGACATCCTTGCGAGGTTGTGTCTCTTCGGGAGCAGTCTCGGTCTGGGTCTTCTGCCCTGCGACAGCAGATTCAGGGGTAGCCGGGAAGACGCCCAGCATCTCCTGGCGGAACTTGGCCTCACGATCCTCCCATGCTGAACGGCCAAACTTCTCTCCCTTGATGAGAACGCGAGACAGCACCTGGGACCAACTACCAGGGGCGGCGCACAGGTCAACGACTCTTGTCACGTTGGCGAACAGGTCAAACTCTGGGCCATCATTTAGCATTCATAGTCAGAATGTCACGGGATGGCGGGGTAAAATGAGTCACCTTCATCCAATTGCAGCAGCTTGAAGGCACTGCGTGCACGCCAGCCTTGCTCCTTTGCAAGACGGTAGTAAGCATCGCGCTTATCCTTGGAAGATTTGCCCATCTTGAAGCGATTGCGAATGTGGCCAAAAGGACTGTTGAGGGCTGATCTGAGACCAAAATGGCGGGGGAGGGGAAAAAGTGCCAGCAATATTTTTTTGGAGGGGTCGACGCCCGCTGTGACCGCCGAAGAAAATTTGCTGCAGCGCTGTTCTCGTAGGGCTGAATTAAGTTGCGGTCTGTGCATCGCCTGGCGCCCAGGGGGTTCTCTTCCCCGGCTGAAGTATTTTCCGGGCCCGCCAAAAATTTCGAGCAGCGCAGCAGCGGCGGCGCTCAATTGCAGTGGAAATGCGCATCGACTCTTTTTTTTTTTTTTTTTGATGTGAAGATTACTCGCGGGGCATTTTCCCATACCGTTCTTTTTGCGCTCCTTGTATATACAACACCAGGACCCTCAATATGCAACACAAGAGGAAGCAACAGCCTTCTGGGGCTGTTCAGAATCCCCAGAAGCGCCAAAAGTCGGCTGGGGGAAAGGCTGCGGCCCCCAAGAAGCGCAAGGTCGCCGTCAGTGCGCTACCATGGAAGACGGTCGAAGTCCCCGAGATGTTTGACGATGCCGAGGGTTTCTACGGCTTAGAGGTTATCGAGGGCGTTGATGTCGTCAAGCATGGCGATAACGTTGATTTTGTATGTCTTCCAGCCTATGCTTCTCCTCCTCGCCATCCCGAATGCGTTGCATGACTGACTGCAATCTAGATTGCTGCTATTCCCTCTGGCGACGAGAAGGAGAACGACGAGGACGAGTTCGAAGGCTTCAGCGACTCTGAGCCAGTATCTACACAAACCGATACAATAATGGAGGAGGCGGAGGTAGCACCAAAGGTAGAGGCCAAGAAGATCAAGAAGGAGAAGAAGGCTGCCGCCAAGGCAGAACAAAAGGCACAAAAGGCACAAAAGGTGGAAAACACAAAGGGGGACAAGCCTGCAGACAAAGCCGATGAGACAGACGCCGCTACACCTACACCCGCAGCCGAACCCGAAGGCAAGAAGAAGAAAGAGAAGAAGCAGAAGAAGGCTCAGCCTAAGCCGGAGGACGCCAAGCTTGAAAGCAACGTTTTCAAGGCTCTCGAGGAAGCTGAAGAGGCTGAGGAGGATATCGACACGGCTCCCTGGGTGGACCTCGGTCTCTCCCCGGCGACTGTTGCGGCCATCGCCAAGCTCAAGTTCGCCAAGCCAACCAAGATCCAGAGCTCGTCGATACCCGAAATCCTCGCCGGCCACGACGTCATCGGCAAGGCCTCTACGGGTTCCGGTAAGACGCTTGCGTTTTCGATTCCCATCGTGGAGGAGTGGCTCGAGAAGTTTGAGGGAAAGGAGGACGAGAAGAAGCCGGATAACACCCCCTTTGCGCTCATTCTGTCGCCGACGAGAGAATTGGCACACCAAATCACTAACCACATCAAGAACCTTTGCGCCGGTCTGACCCACGCGCCCTTCGTTTGCTCGGTGACGGGAGGTCTGTCAGTCTTCAAACAGCAGAGACAACTAGCCAAGGCAGATATCGTTATTGGTACGCCAGGTCGTCTGTGGGAGGTCATCAGCTCCAGCACGGAGCTCCTGAAGGGGTTCCGGCAAATCAGGTACCTGGTTGTCGATGAGGCCGATAGGCTTCTGAGCGAGGGACACTTCAAGGAGGCGGGAGAGATCCTAGACGCCCTTGACCGTGAGGTTGTCGAAGAGGATGACGATGATGAGAAGGAGCTCTCGGAGCGACAGACGCTGGTCTTCTCTGCTACGTTCCACCAGGGACTGCAGCAGAAGCTGGCCGGCAAGGGCAAATGGGGCCTCATGTCGGAGACGGAGAACATGGAGTATCTGCTGAAGAAGCTCAACTTCCGCGAGGAAAAGCCAAAGTTCATCGACGCCAACCCCGCCAAGCAGATGGCCGCCGGTCTCAAGGAGGGTCTCATCGAGTGCGGTGCCATGGAAAAGGTAAGAAAGAAGCGCTCGCCCAAACTATCATGATGACCTGATCTAACATGTTGCAGGATCTCTACCTCTACACAATCCTCCTCCTCAACCCGAACCGCCGCACTCTCGTCTTCACGAACTCCATCAGCGCCGTCCGTCGTCTGACCCCCATGCTCCAGAACCTCAACCTGAACGCCATGGGCCTCCACTCCCAAATGGCCCAAAAAGCTCGTCTCCGCTCCGTCGAAAAGTTCACAGCCACAAAAGCAAACACCACATCCGTCCTCATCGCCACCGACGTCGCCGCTCGTGGTCTCGATATCCCCGGCATCGACCAGGTCGTCCACTACCACGTCCCCCGTGCCGCCGACATGTACGTCCACCGCTCCGGTCGTACCGCGCGTGCCGAGAAGACGGGTCTGAGTATCATCCTCTGCGGACCGGAGGAGGTTGTACCGACGCGCAGACTCGCGGCCAAGGTCCACGAGAAGCACTCGAGCAAGAAGAAGTACTTTATGCGCACCATTGACATCGATCGCCGCATCGCGTCCCGCCTCAAGCCGAGACTTGACCTGGCGAAGAAGCTCACTGACGCGACGCTCGCCAAGGAGAAGGGCAACAAGGACGAGGACTGGGTCAAGGCTGCTGCCGAGGAGCTAGGCGTAGAGTACGACAGCGACGAGCTGGAGAAGGCAGGGACGTGGACGGGTCGCGGAAGTCAGCGGAAGAAGAAGCAACAAGAGGACAAGAACATTAGCAAGGCGGAGATGGGAGCCATGAGGGCGCAGCTGCGCGAGTTGTTGTCGAAGCGCGTCAATGCCGGTGTGAGTGAAAAGTACATCACGTCGGGTAATCTCGACATTGAGGAGTTGTTACGAGGCGGCACGGGAGATTTCCTGGGCAAAGTTGACGGCTTGGACTTGGAAGATCTGTAAGATGGTAGCCTCACGCATTCACAAAAAGACAATACCACTTGATTTCAATGTTGCAATCAAAACTTTTCATTCCTGGTCCTCTTGAGCTGCCCGTTCGGCTCAATACCACGACCAATCAGTATATCCATAGGGGAATTCCGTGACCATAACCGTAACCGTAAACGTGAACCGTGTCCTTCATCGTGACCATCCTATTATAAACGAAACCGAACCGGAACCAAAACCATATCCGTATCCGTGTACTGGGCTCGCCGGCCCTCGTCACAGAAGTATACTAAAACAAGAAAGAATTGTGTTCTCACTGAACAATAAGTAATCGAAGCTCGTGGCCTCACTCACTCCTCCATCACCGACGAAGGGCCCGCCTCACTCTTCGGAAGCTGTTCAGACCTTCTCCTATTCGGGAGTGGCTTCATCGGTCGCATCGTCTTCGCGTCTGAGCTTGACTGCGCGCGTTCGGGCTTCTTCTCCGGAGTTGACGTAACCGAGAGAAGGTGCTTGCCTTCTTCAATCTGCTGCAAGACCGTAGAAACACTTCCGGTCTGCAGGGCAGTGAGTCTGGGGCCGGACTTGGGGTTCTGAATCTGGTCCTCGAGATCTCTGACCCTCGAGGCCAAGAGTGTGAGGTCCTCGCGGCCCTTCTTCGTCTTGTCACGCAAGGTGAGCCTGCCCGTACAGCTCATGGAGTACTGCGACTCCAGCTTCGCAATCTTCTCGTCCTTCTTCGCAAGTTCGGCCTCCTTCTTCTCAAGTTCTTCCTCGTGAGTCTTCTTCATGAAGCCCAAGATTCCATCTTTGTTGGACAACTCTTGAGTCTTGTTTCTTTTGGCCAAATTGGCCTTCAGGAGCTCTTCGTTGGCAAACTTCTTCATCCTAGCCGTCAAGTTGGTGTTTTCGTTGAGAAGGCGTTGCACCTCCACGTTCAACCGTTCGGTCTCGGCGCAGAAATCATCCTTGGCCACCTTCAGGTTGCCCATGGTGTGAATTGAAGCTTTCTCGGCCTCCAGTGACTTCTGGAGCTTCTCTTGCTCCTCTGCGAGCTCCTCGATGTATCCCTCGATCTCCTCCTCCGCCTCCTTCTTCTCCTTGCGGACAGTGCTCAGGTCGATCTCCAACTTGGTGACTTGCACCGCCTTTGCTTGCAAAATCTCGACTGCTTTTTGCTCTACGACCTGGGCCTTTTGAATCGCAGCGTCTCTCTCTTTCTGTAATGGGGCAATCTGGGCGGCCTGGTCCATTAACTGCTCCACTTGCTGCTGTAGGGTATCCCTTTCAATGCGTATCTGCTCTGTCTCTTGTTGCAACGTAGCAACCTGAGGGCTCAGGGCAGCCATTTGCTCCACCTGCTGCTTGTAGTTATCGTTCTCGTCGCGCAATTGCTCTGCTTCGCTTCGCAGGTCAGCAACCACTCTCTCAGCTTCCGCTTTGAAGCCTGCGGCTACTTGGATCTGGGCGCCTTGCGCCTCAATGGTTGCCTTGGCTTCTGCCTTGACATTGACTAACTCCGTCTGGAGCGCGAGAATGTCTGCCGACGCTGATGCTTTGATATCTTGCTGAATGACTTGCCACTCCGTCGCAGTAGTTGCTTGAGCTTGGGCCTTGGCCAATTCCTCGCGAAGCTCGACAATGACCGTCAATAAGTTGTGCTCCGTGTTCTGACTTTCAGCCTTGAGATCGTTCATCTGGGTCTTGTTGATGAAACGCTTGAACGTGGCTGAAGTCGCCAATGCCTGATTTACCGAAAGCCTGGCTTGGGTTAAGGCGAGCTGTTCCTCGAGATACTGTTGGGCTTTGAGAGCAGTCTCTACCGCTTCAGCTTGGGTTTCCGTCGCCAACAGCTCTACCCGAGGGGGACTATCTTTCTGACGCTGTAGTGCCTTGATGTCGGTACGTAGCACGCCAATCTGGTCTTCCTTGCGCCGAGCATATTCTTGGAACTTCTCCTTCTGAGTGTCGATCTTCTTCTGAAGGTACTTCGCTTGCGAATTGGATGCCTCCCGACAGACATCGGCGTCGTGGGTCTGCGCTTTCTGGTACTCCAGCTCTGCCTCGAGTCTTGCGATGGTTACTCCGTCTGTCTCGTGTGCAAGGAGTCTCGCGTTTGCTTCCCGGAAATTGTGTTCGGCCTGTTGAGCACGGGACCGCTGCACATTGATAGCGTGCTGAAGCTCCAACACCTTCGCGTCCATTGCGCTCACTTCTGATGCGTAGGAGTTAGACTGCCTCACGGTCTTCGTCAGCCGTTCCTCGGCCTTGTCACATTCCTCTCGTTGGCGGTAGCATCTGTCAAGGTCTTCTTGCGCGGGCATAGGAACTGGTTGTTCGATTATTTGCTCCGGGAGCTTTCGGAGGGCAACTTGCTGCACCTCTGTATCCGGGACCGGCTGGCGAGATGCAGAAGCTCGGCGAAGCGTATCACACAGACTCATCACAGCAGTTTTGAGCCCCCAGATAGCCTCCATTATGACAGCGCCCACGCTGGATAAGACGCTAAGGGCGAGGTCTCCCGTAAGAGGATGAATAGAAGCCAGGGTGAAGATGACGAGGATGAGACATCCGATGCTTTTGGGATCGAGCAGGCCGTTCTCGCGAAAGAGCTGGTAGATCAGACTGCCCAAATAACTGAGAGCCATCAAAATGGTAATTATGCCGGCAAAAGCGAGGGCGACGCTGAACGGGTCGATCATGATGTCGGTTCCGCGTTCGTAAGAAGGATGACACCGATGGCGGTTGAGACGATTCTCGGCTAGCGATGAATGGATGGATGGATGAGAAAGCGAGATGAGAATTGGGGTTCGAAGTGAAAAGATACAATCTTCTGATGAGAATTGGTTGTCTGAAGAGAGATATGGTCGGCAAGAAGATGAAGGTTCTTGCGATAGTTGATTTCTTCGGCGTATGGTTGAGGACGGCTCACGAAGGGGTTGAAGAAGAGAGAAATTTGGAGGGATGGATGAGTGAGATGAGGGCTCGAGTGAGAGTCGAGGATGAAAATTCAGAGGGATTGAAAGGTGAGGAAGGCGCTGCTGGGAAAAGCTGATGTTGAGGGAAGGTGCGTCTGGAGGAAGGCGCGAAGGTGAGGCAGGTGCGAATTGACGGAGCGACAGAATTTTTGCAGTGGGTAGGGCTTCTATGAGGTCTTCTTCATCTTTTACTCACTTGCCTGAGGTGAGAAGTCGATCTCTTGGATTTCACAGGCACCTTTATCAAGGGCAGCTGTCTTGTCCTGCATCTTTTCACCTATTCATACAATGAGTTGGGCATACAAAGGGAGTGAGCTGAAAGAGAAGTGAGCTCACTCTTTTCAACCCGAACTCTTTGACACGAGCTGCTGTGTTTCAAAGCGGCCACCTTCTTTTGGCCTAAATTGATCAGAGGTAGAGACTTTCTAGGTCGAGGACGACGTTGATCGCGAAACCAACGCGATGTCATACAGTCTAGAGTTCGTTGGCTCAGAACTTCCATCACAAAGGTGTTGAAATGTATGGCTTAGCACATGAGCCCGATTCTCTGATTCTCGATGTGAAGAATTGCCAAGATCGGTGCATGTTGTGTGTGGTCGACCTTAGCTATTGTGCAGCTCCAATCTCATGATGTTGGAAGTCACCTTGTCCTCACCGAGATCTCACCTAGCTCTCACCGAGGCCCCCTATTTCAAATGCAAAGCGTCGGTCTTCACGTTCCGCCAGGCTGGACAAGTATCAGGGTATTCCGGAATCATAAATAGGAATAATTCATAGTGTCAAGTTTGCGGTAAGGCACCATATAGCGGCATGCAATTCCGGGTTTTGAATGACACTGGTAAGCCAACAATGGAGAGCGTTCGGTGAGCCGGTGACGGGTGACGAGTGATGACAAGGCCCCAAAGCCACAAGGCAGCATCAATCCTGGTAGCATTCTCCAAATCTGGTGCCATCGGCGAGGTATAGAGAATATCATCCGCAGGTTTGCTTTCACGATTGTTTCGAATCTTTCTCCAATCAGTGTCGGCTCATCCCCCGCCCACGGGCATACGATCGCATATTGACTAAGAGTGATTCATTTGATCGCCATGTACAATCAATCTCTATTCAAATCATTCATATCTGGTATCAAGTGGCGCTAACTCATAATTATTAATAGTGTAAACCTTCGTCCGAGGCCAGCCTGGGTGTCCATCAATTGTCGGTTTCATGATCTCATCTATGACCCTCCTTGAGCGAGTCGAGCTCAATTGAGCTTTCGCCTTCGCTGAGTCCTGTTAATCTTTCATGCCGCACTCTCACTTCTTCGGTCTTGATGATGCCGTTCATGCCCGGCAGCGGCGATGCCTGGCCGCCTTCCGCCTCTTGAAGGGCTTCCTGAGATTCTTGCCATCCTCCGGTGGACATGACGACGACAGAGTTCCGACCGTATTGCGACCCGGGGCCATATCTCTTCGTTGACCTGACCTCCTTCCTCGTTCCTGTGTCGAGTGCATGCGATTGTGATTTGTTTCGGGCATAACTTCGTTGAGTTGACTTGAGCTCTCGGTATAGCATTCTCCTACACGGTGTCAGACGTCAAGAAACAATACGCTTGATGAGGGGGGGAAGTCCACATACAAGACTGGGATAGACACTGCCATGATTGAGGCGGCAGGTTCGGTCAAAGTCCAGATCGTAAGGTCGACGCGCTCGTAGGTGATGTCTGGACTGGTCATGTTGACCACCAGGACAGCTTTCACGATGCCACATATTCCGGCACTGTCGTCGATGTTAGTTCACCGCAAAAGTGGCCAGGGTGGGATCCGGGAGTCTTACATGGCACCCAAGCTCATTGCTACGGCGACACCAAGCCTTTCGCGGCGCCGCATCGTTGCGCCCATGAGGATCGGCCACGGGAGGAACGCCAAGACAAAATCGAGAATGGCGGAGTAATCTGAAAGCAAGTGAGCATGCAAGCCTCAAGAGAACAACGTTTCGCGGCAGTCTTACAAGCAGCAAACAACTGGAATTTAACAAGCTTCTTCTTGTCCCAGCAACTTCCCGGCACGCTGCTGTCCCATACTCGTTGCAACGGTGTGCATTTGGCGAATCCAAAGATCCATACCAAGTTCATCGAGATGTTGATGGAAACGATGATGAAGATGAGAAAGTATTTCAACCATTGGTTCGTGACAATGCGGTACAGCGTCAGGGCGAACGAGCTTTTGCTAGTCGTCGTTGCGATGATTCCGAACGTGGCGACGAGGATCGTGTTGAGGTTGATGAGCTTGAGGTTGTCGCTACTGATCGTATCGATATGGCGTCCAAATCCGAGAGAGACAATGTAGGAGTTTATCGAGATGGATATCACCAGTGACACCTGCAACTATGAGCTAGGGGGGTAAGGGCAATGACGGCCGTCCTTCACATACCATTGACGCAATCAAGAGATGGTCATCCCACCATAAACCACGTCCACGCCATAGCTTACAATAGATACGCAACGAAAGCAGCGTAGCGCTAGCGACACAGAGAGACCATGTTACGGCGAGGAGTCTGGTGCCTCTATCGTCGACCATCGTCAACCTCACGGCACGCGCACAGTGCCACGAGATATGATAGAAGACGTCGTAAGAAACAAGGACGGGAGTCAATCAGTGGATCCCCGGGAATTCTGCTCAAAAATCGGTCGAGGTCAGCGCACACGCGGGAGGTGCATCACTCCCTCATATTATACATTGGCATCGCACATGATGAAATCTAAGATCAGCGTCCTCAACAAGGGGGCCCCCAGGTACCAGAAAGCCTCCTACCCTCCATGAACAGTCCTTAGTTTCGGGGAGTGCAACCGACTTTTCACGCTATGTGCCCCCCCTCGAAACCGGCGAGAGTATTGCCTGTGTCGGCGATAGGATTCTCCCCCTCAAAGGGAGAGAGGCAGGGAGGGAGGCGGAGTTCGGACGAAGTCCCGCCACCTGCCCCAAGGAATACCTCGTCACGGGCAGGCGAAAGACAGATCAGGCTTCGACCGGTGCACGACATATATCACGGCGGGCGGAAGCGGTAGATTTGGGTTCGTGGAAAAGTCGAGGCCGGCCGCCAACACGGCGGTGCTGGGACCAACGTTTGATTTCTGCTACTACGGGCACATTACTTCAAACAGAACTGTTGGATCGCTGGGCCAAGTTTGTTTTGCGTCTGTAAATCCACCGGGAGGTACGGATGCAAGGGAACTAGCAGCCTCACAAGAGTCAACGGCTCACCACTGACGCTGTGGCTGTTTTTGGTTGCAACCACACTTGTCTTGGAATGATCTGATGGGAACACGAAGTTGGTTACTTAAACAGTAAGGTAGGACTGGGACGTTCCCGTGGGCTTGTGGTTCGCTCGGGGTCCATCTGAATCGGAGATCCAGCGCCATGCTCCAACAGCAGCTCCGCATACGGACCACGTTCTCCTCTACAGACGCATAAAGGGTCCACTGGCATCACGCAACTGTAATCAATGAAAATGTAAAGGTGTGTGTGGTCTCGTTAACGGATTCTGCTACCAAAGTTCCTTTAGCCCTGCCAGGCCGGCCCAACCATGCCGGGGCAGCTGAGGAATGTGGGAATGTGCCCACTCCTCAACTCAAGATGGCTGGGGTACCGGTCTCTAGTGCCGAACTCTAATCCTGGGGCTTGAGCGGAGAGATCCCATTCGTGCGCCAGCGATTTTCCCCAGGATCATAGCCGATGGTCAATATTACATATCTCGTTTAAACAGTACCCATATGGAGTTTCCGGGGCTCTAGAAGACACTAAGAGAGTCTACTCACCAACACGAATATTGGCTGCGCCGTTACTGCGCAGTAGCGTGGTCTCACCATCGATTCTGCTAACCATAATGAGGTATGCTTCTCCGATGTTCTGCCAGGCCTTGGAGGGCAGCGGGCAACACGGACGGTTACCAACTACGGCTCCAATCTGCGGGGGATGCTGGGCATCAGGCCACGACCCGTCGAACCCGTGATGGATGAATTCCTCGGCCGAGAGATCGATGGGCGAGCCTCGCTATGCTCTCGTCATGCGACACAAGGATGAACTTACGTAGTAGCATCTGATCGAGCCCCCTGAGCCGAAGCACGCAAATCGTGTTGGAGGGCTGCCAAGTGCCATCCGCAGGGGCAATGAGACGGTACGGACTTCTTGTATGTGTCATCGTAATCTAAGGTATGGACTAAGTCTGCTAGGGGTGATCGGCAGAGCCTTGGAAGAGCCGGTGATTATTTTCCAAAACGGCTCTTAGTCTACAGTCGTCGTAACCCAATATTCCGGGCAGTGCAGGGACTAAGAGGCCGTCTTTACGGAAATTTCTTTTCACGCCAGCGGACGTTGAGGCAATTTCTAGACGATATGTCATGATTGGTTCCCGAGTAGCGTCGACGGGCTTGATCAAAATCTCCCTACCTGAACCTCTGTGCGACTGACATGAGACACACGCAGGTGTTAGCCTCCCTTTCCTTCTACACCGCATTCTAGAAGCTGCACCTCTTCGCCCGTTGAGCCTTGCCTGCCATGCGTTCCCACGCGTTTAGAGTTCTTCTGGCGTTTTCGTCGTGCTTGGGCGTGTCCGAGTCCTCCTCGCCCGCCTATTGGGGTCCTCGTCCCAAGCCCACGCCGCCTGGACCTCCTGCGGTGCACCTCTCAGACGGAACCTACGTCGGAGTGCGGAACCAGCAGTATGCGCAGGACCTCTTCCTTGGTATCCCGTATGCACAACCCCCCGTTGGCCCTCTCCGGTTCGCTGCTCCTCAACCGCTCAACGAGACGTTCGAGGGGACTCGATCAGCTGCCGAATATGGCTGGATGTGCATAGGGTATGGCTCCGATACTGCCAACTTGGGGAACCCCGTTTCGGAGGACTGCTTGACCATCAACGTCGTGCGTCCGGCCGGTGTCCAGCCAGGAGATGATCTGCCTGTTGGCGTTTGGGTTCACGGCGGCGTAAGTTTCTGCCAAGTGTAAGACAACCTTTACCTGGTACTTTTGCTGACTTTGTCGAAACAGAGTTATGTAAACGGAGGCTCGCGCGACCCGAGGTACAACCTCAGCTACATTGTCGACCAATCCGTCAAGGAGGGAAAGCCTATTGTGGCTGCATCCATTAACTACCGTGTTTCGTATTGGGGCTTCCTCTTCAGCAACGAGCTGCAAGACGCCGGTGCTGGCAACATTGGTCTCCGCGACCAGCGCCTCTCGTTGGAATGGCTCCAGCAGAACATTGCCGCCTTTGGCGGCAGCCCTGACAAGGTCACCATCTGGGGAGAGTCTGCGGGTGCTCGTTCCTTGGGCATGCAGCTCGTCGCCTACGATGGCCAATACAACAACCTGTTCCGCAGCGCCATCCTCGAGAGTGGCAGTCCCATCGCGAGGTTCGCCGACGCCGACGACTGGCAGCCGTGGTTCAATGCCCTCGTCGACAAGACGGGCTGTACCGATGCCGCTGACAAGCTGAGCTGCTTGCGAGGCCTTCCTTGGCAGACTATCAACGCCATCTACAACGGCACCAACCCCTTGAGCGTAACGCCGCCTACCATCAGCGCCGTGGTTGACGGCGACTTCATCACTGCTCAGGGATCCGAGCTCTTGGCTGCGGACAAGTTCGCACATGTTCCTCTTCTTCTCGGCAACAACTTCGATGAGGGCACCGCGTATGCAAAGCAGGGCATCAACACCACTGAGCAGTTCCAGGCCTGGCTTACTGCCCTTCAGCTGGACAGCGAACAGGTGGCCGCCATCTCGGAGCTTTACCCCGACGATCCCGATGTTGGAATCCCCGTCTCTCAGGTTGGCCGCCCTGCGGCGAACCCATTCGGCCTCCAGTGGAAGCGGGCAGCTGCCTTTGCCGGCGACTACCAACAGCACAGCGGTCGCAGGCTCCTGGCCAGCACCTACGCTGGTGCCGGACTGTCCGTTTACTCTTACTTGTGGAACGTCTATGTCAATGGCATCGCGGCCGTCTACGGAGCGACCCATTTCCAAGAGGTCGCGTTCGTGTTCAACAACGTGAACGGAGTTGGGTATGCTACCAACCCCTTTGCAGGAAAGCCAGAGACCTTTGTTGAGCTGGCGGACCTCATGAGCAAGATGTGGGTTGCATTCATCCACGACACCGATCCCAATGTCTGCAGCGGCCCCAAGACAGGTCCTACGTGGCCATTGTACACGGTCGATGAGCCTAACAACATCGTCTTTGATGTAAACCGTACCGGTCTGGCCTATGTTGAAGAGGATAATTACAGGGCGACAGAGATCGAGTATCTGTTGGAGAACGTCTTCGTGTAATGCCGACGCTTCAGCGTCCATCAAACTCATCTCCAAATCATGTCTCGCCTCAAGTGCCTAGATTAATAATACCTGATCGATCATTCTATCATAGCCTTTGTAATAGAGACACTTCATCTCATTGAGCTTGCTTTCCACAGGCCATCTAGGCCTTCTCCAATGGCATCGTTTCAAGTTTGAAGGAACCTAATTAAAGGATCTTCCACTCTTTCTTAAGGGCCCGTTTGTACATAGAGGAGTAATCAAGGAAATGCTCGGGATAATTCGGAGATTTTCTATAGGCGAGTCCAAACCGGTTGCGTTTGGCGGCAAGTCAGAGTATTTAGAGTTCATCGATATTAATATCTGCCCTTTGATCAATGCAAACCCAGCCGTTGCTCTGCAGCCTGTGGATTACTAAATGCTTGTGCCAAGACCTAAACCCGCTTCTCGTCACAATCCCGGTGTTGATCTCGCCGGTCTATCAATTACCCCGATCGTGAACCAAAAAATGCCACAATGCCAGCCACATCATTGCGGGGTGGCGGGGTATTGTAAACATACATGTATGTTCACAAAGAATCGTCAATGGTGACTAGCCATCTCCACGAGATGGATAAGCTAGCCGTAGGATGTATAGAACTCACGAGAATCGTTATGAGATCTTGGGATCACCTCACCGTGAGAACGGCACTCTTCATCAACGGTCTCCACCCCTGTGTCAACGACACATCAAGTCAACCGGATCAAATGAGAGCAGTCGCCAAGAAGGTATCAGGGACGGGAATAGCTGCTGAGGCTGCATCATCATCGCAATCCCCCAAGGACCCTGTTGACTCATTGACCTCTATGGCTATCTATTGGGCTGCCTTGTGTGGCGAAGGCCAATTGATCCAGCCGTCTTCTGCCGCAATCTTCAAAAATGAAGTGTCTCTAGAGCCTGGAACATTAGAGGAGCGTTATGAAGGCCTCAAACAAGATGTTGCACATCATCTGAGAACACATGCCATAGCAGCTTCTCATGCTCACGTTTTGACCGATGTCGTTCATTTAGCGTCAAGAAGATGGAGGGCGGACCGGTCAAGGTCCTCGCTTTGAGTAAGAATAAGCCTTGCGCCTCATCAGCCTAGACATGATCGATGGCTTGTAAGGTTTCCTGCTTCCGTCGTCAGCCTCGGCTATGAGGATACGGAGATCTGATATGACATGATCTAGTGGCGTGATGGCCCCGATGAATTCAAGTCCGATGTGAGCCGTTTCGAGACCTCTATGGGCGAGAAAGTATAGCACTGCTATGAGTATCTATGGATTTAAAACCTGGCTCATGTGTTTTCGGGCAAGCCAAGTTCTCGAGGGAAGGAGCAAGCATAACAACCTTGAACATGTACGGCATTCAATCAACAGTCCTCGGGAGGTCGCGAGATTCTTCCCCAATCAAGATGTCACCACCGAGGAAATCGGTTGGGCTCGAGAGGAGAATGAGCTGCTTCTCCGCCAGCAATATCAGCAAAGCCGCCCCTTTTATGATGGCGTTGGATAAGCAGCTATACCAGCCCTACAGCCCACGAACGCCTCTGATCATGACGCCTATACAGAAAGACGAGGTGACCAGCCCAGCTCGGCGACAGCATCAGAGCGGCCCTTCCAACGAGTCTAGCGTCGACAATTACTTCGAAATTCCCTACGATGCCGACGAAACCCGAGCCGCGCAATCCCCAGAGACAGTGGAGGAAGAGCATATCGAACAGGAGATGAAACAACACGAAAGGGGCGTCGCGGAGGCATGCACCTTTCTGGAAGGCTTTATCATTGAGCGATGGGAAACGCAATTGCAGGCGGGATACATCAAAATCGTCTGCAACTTGACCTTGGACGAGATCAGAGAGCTTGGGAGACTACGCATGGCAGAAGGCACAAGAGAATGTCGAAAGCTCATCACGGCTCCGGTACTTCACGATGCCATCGGCTATGCTCTCTGGCTTGAGATGGCAAATGAGATTGGCCGGCACGAGATGACCACACAATTCGCCAACACGAGCCTGGCTGCAGTGACCGAGAAGGAGGAGACTCCAGGACCTTCTGTCATCAAGTGGTCCATCGAAAAAGAGGTGGCCGAACGCAGAGCAAGATCGATGAGGAGGCGGGCTACAGAGGGCGACGTCTTCACTGAACCAACGCCCTCCTTGTACCGCTCAATTCCGTCCACCGCAGATCGTACGAGGCGAAAGAGCGAAATGCCCACCCTTCGACCCGATCAGATCATGTGCACAACATGTGGAAGCCGTGCGATGCCCGACTACAAATCTGACGAAGAGCAAAGCCAAACTGATGGGGACGAGAACTGTGATGTGGACATGAGCACCATACGAGAGAATGGCGACGTTGAGGTACTGGAGGCGAGAGACAGCATGGAAAGGCAAGTGAAAAAGCGGAGCAGCATTTCGAGGCGGCTGTCCCTCAAGGTGAACCAGACTCTAACAAAGTTCGGTGAGGGTCTCGCGCCTGGCTACATGTACGGTGGTGGCGCGGGCGGCCGGGTACTGAGTTGAGTGACCAGCCGCGAGGGGAAGTTCTGCCATTCTGAAAGTGTTTGGCCGGGCCCATCTATTTTCAATAGGGACCTCTCGTTCCCGGACAAGGTGGCAGAAGTCAGTTGACATGGATCGATGCCATCAACAAGTACCGTTTGGACAGATCAAGGATCGCGAAGCAATGTAGGTGGAGGAGGATACCCAGAATGATACCATCATGGTGAGAATGAGAGACTCCTCACTCCTGTATGTAGGAACCTGGATAGTCTGTGGAAGGTTGATCCATTTGTTTGCAGCTCTGCATCACTGACTCCGTTGATCCTCAAGTTCTATTCTGAATATGGCGATTATTAGCGACATTTTGGTTATGTCACGGACGAACCGCGCCGAGCTCGGCCGGGCGATGACCCGGTTGCCGTCGTTTATTGACTTGCCTTATGTAAGCTTAAATTGTCCTACTCTTCCCCTGGTGCCTGTGGTCCATCTTTGATGAATTCTCCTCTCAATCAGCACCTCATTATGAACCCAGACACCCCCGACACACAGTTAATCAAGGCTGCTGTGCTTCTTTTAACTTCACGCCAGCAAATTATGTTGGCCTGCCACGATATTCAAGACTAGCTTTGAACGGAATGTCTCACCTGGGCACGCCAATCGCGTCTACCGGTTTCTGTCGCCCCTGGTTTGTGGCGTCTGCCGGCTCCTGAGTCATTTCTGCCGCCAGCGAGGGTCAGCGCAAAGAGTTTATCATCATATTACCATCCCGACGCCATCACGATGGGTCTGGACAGTAGCGACAGATCGAACAACCGGTGTTGTCTTCTTTATGGATCACTTGTCGACTTTCTGAAAAGATGTTTTCCTCGCCAGCGAGGCAAATGAGTTGTAATCTGTTGCGAGTGCGAGGTCCATGGCTGTACACTACCACATCATCAACTTGGTTTGCCTAGCTTGCTTGGCCTAGGCTGAACCAGTGTTTGATTAAGAAACGCCATCGCGGCTGCAGCTAAGCTGTCTTGTGGACACCTCCAACGTTGCCCCTATTTCCGCGAGGGTAGAATGATAAGAGGCTCGTTGAAACGTGCGAAAGCTCTTTGCCAATTACCAGCACCCGTTCATGCTGTTCAACTTTGGCATTGCCACAGAAAATGATGAGACTTGATATCTCCAGGGTATCGAAGACTCCGCCAGACTCCGCGATGAGTCGGCTTTTTCGTGTTTATCCGGACAATTGACGCGGAACATGAAATCTCCACTGCGGAACCGCAGAAGCGATCACGTTGAAGCTATCCCTGGCTCAGCCCTTCAGCTGTCAAGGGGGTTGTGCAACTTTAGCGCCATGATGACAGGGGTTAGTGACCGTCGTGGTGATGATTGACCATCAAACCACCAAGTCTGCCTAAGCCGAGATAGAGAAACTAGGTAAGCTTTCACGCTTTTCACGGATACACGGGCTCAACGGTGGACTCCATTACCCCTTGCAGCGAGTTAGGAATTGTCTCTCCCCCGCGCTTAGCTTCCCATGCCTTGCCGGTCACTCTAGGCAGAGACATGGCCATTTGGCCCCCTCGTCCTTCTTGCATCATGCTTCGTGAAAGGCTCATCCTGTCTTTTCTGACTCTGTTGACCATTGTCGACGTTCCATTCCTTGATATCCTTTGATTGCTGTTGTGGTTTGCCTGGGAGAGATGTCGCGGATATTGGCCCAGCTATGGCTGTCTCTCTTCCTCATCGGCCTTGGGAGAGCCGCAAGTATCGTTTATGTCACTGATCTTTCCATTTACACGTTGTTGGTACGTCCAAAACCTTTGCCGGACTGCTGATTAGGACGATACTGACCCATAGTAGGCACCGTGTGTACAGACTGCCGTGTCGTACAACATCTTCTCCCAGACCTACTCAGCGTGCGGCGAAGCACCGACAGATTTGCAGTCATGTATATGCACGAAGAACAACAATCTCGCCGCCATCTCAACATCGATCGCGAGGTCAATCAGCTACAGCTGTGGCTCAACCGCATCCGATGACCAAACCAGCGCCGCGGCAGTCATCAGCCAGTACTGTAACCCCGATACGACGGTCAACTTTCCGACACCTACGACCAACATCGTTACCAAGTATGCCACCGACATCGCCGAGTTCGCCAACATGGCCCCGTGTGCCCAGTCTGGCGTGTCGTACGCCATCAGCTCAATGTCTACGTACTGCCCCGAAGCCGCAAGTCTGATGGCGCCCTGCATCTGCTCGAAGAACGACAACTCAGCACGCGTCAGCCGGTCCATCGCATCGCTTGTACGGTACTCATGCTCCAACGCCGCCGACGTGACTTCGGGTCTCGCTTTCTACGATGCGTATTGCGCCATGAATAAGGGCACCACATCGTTCCCGCAGCCTTCGCCGCCTCCAGGAGATATGACCTACTACATGACGGCGCTCTCCCAATACAGCTCGCTGGCCGCATGTGCACAGTCAGGGTTTTCGGATGCTATCTACTCGCTCACGAGATACCAGTGCCCGACGGGGCCTCAGGCCTTGGCATCTTGTATGTGCTTGAAAGATGGAGTGACTAACATCGTCATGAGCACGGTGACATCAGACATCAAGTGGTATTGCTCATCTACGGCAACGGATGATGTATCTTCTGCGGTTGCCGTGTTGGATTACTATTGCAAGGCTGCTAGGAACGAGGTAGTGGCCACTGTCGCCGAATCTAGTGAGTAGATCATGCTCAATGATCGCACCAGCCTTGACTAACCAGGTGATAGTTGCTCAAACTTATCCAACAGCACAAGCCGGCACGGGGTCAGGGACTTCGGGAGCCGAAGCCACTGCTACTGCTACTGGCTCTTCGGGTACTTCTGGCGACAGCACGAATGCCAATGGCAAATCGAAGTCCAGCATTCCAAGCCTTGCAGCCATCATCGGAGGCGTTATTGCTGTCGTTGGTGCCTTGTCCATTGCCGCTCTGATCGCGTTCATCATCTACCGCCGTCGGAAGAAGAACGAAGCTGGGTTCCCGCTTCCAGGTGCCGCCGGCCCTCCTGAAATGGCGGGCAAACCTGAACTAGGCGGCACGATGCTGTCTGAGCTGCCACCCAAAAGCCCTCAGATGAGCGTCTCTTACACGACCGGTTCTCCACATCCGGATATCATATCGCCCGCGTCTAATGCTGGTGGTGTATGGGCCCAATCGCCCACAGGCGTGGAACTCCACGGCCAGACGAGATTGCCGTCCGAGATGCCAGCCAATACCAACGGCCAGCTGCAGCCTGCCGGACAATATATGCCTTCGGAGCTCCAGGGACAACATGGCCAACCGGCATATCCGCAACAGCAACCATATGGCCAGAGCCTGCCTCTCCCACCCGAGCTTCAGACCAGCTACACCCAGCCACAGGTGCAAAATACTCTAGCAGAGGCTCATGGGCAACCGGTTCATCAGATTCCGAGTGGGCCATCGGCGGTATATCAAGGGCCGGGACAAGGCAGGGCGGAGCTTCAAGGGATGGGTTGGCATGCAGGCCCAACGCCAGGATACTCTGAGATGGATGGGGGCCGGCAGCGACAGTAATGATGGCGCTGGTAATGGCTGGACTAATGGTGAATTACTGGGAAGGGAGTTCAGGCGTAATGAAGACCTCGGGAAGAATGGTACCAAGAAGACACTTACACTTACTGAATCCTTAGCTCAGTCCAACGATGTAAGAAGAGATATACCCATTTTTACACCCCAAAGGACTCAACTTTAAGCATCGGTGTGAGAAACCAGCTACATGCGCTTTCACGGGAAGAAAGGTGTCGAGGGAGGAAAAAAGCTAAGAACCAAGAAGATCCATAAGAGGGAGGACGATAGTGAAGAGCCTGTTTGAGGGTCTAAGGTGAAGATGCAGCTCGTTAGTCTGGAGCTCACCCCTCGACGGCCTGGGGTTTCGGTGAAGTCTCACCGAGCAAGGACGGACGTGAAGATCGGCGTGCTCGGTCAGGAAGCTCTGACTTCATCCTCTCACCGAGAGACGGCCCCACCAGTACCTACCTTATTGAGCAGAGCTCTTGATGACTCAGCCGGATGATCCTCGGGAGTCTTTCCAGCTTCCTTGTGCAACGCCCTCTGATTGGCCTTATGAGTACCTTTGTCGCCCGTGGTTGCAGGCAGCTCCCCCCAGCCTTGTACCTGCACTGTGCGTTGGCCAGAAAACATTCGCCTGGTCGCGCTCTTCCCAAAATCTTGCGATCTGCCTAGTAGCCGCCAAATCCCACCAAATTCCTTGTCGCTTGGAATCAACTCTTGACCGCCTCAACCAAAATTGGTGGCTCTCGAGCGATTTCTCATCTTCTTCCGTGGGGCTATCCTCCCTGCTTCTGTTTCCATCACAACAACACCTAGGCACCTTGGCCTTCCGACCGGTGGGGTGTTTGACGCGCGACGCAGCGAGCCCATCGCCAAACAAACCTACCTACATTCCGACCGCAAACGACCTCGCAGTCCCCTTTCGATGTCTATGACTAGACCCTGAGCTTACGACAACATGGCAGCGGCGGTGGATGTAGGCTATGTGGCCGGCCACCTAGGGCTGTCCGAGTCGACGGTCTCGACAGCCACAACCGATCCGACCCCCGAGCTCGTCGCGAGCCTCCTCGAAGCCGTCATTGCGAAGGCACGCGAGCATGATGAGTTATATGCCCAGAAGCTTCAGGTCGACATCGAGCTCGAGAGCGCACACCACAGCGCCGAATCAAGATGCCAGATATTCAAGGCGACAGCCGACAAGGCCCTGAAGGATGTCGAGGAGATTCGCCAGAAGCTCAAAGAGGAAGGTTTGTTTAATGACGAGATTGGACGATTGGGGTGTCAATATCTGGGTGACTGACTTGACCATGACAGAAACGAAGCGACAAACTGTCGAGAACGAGCTCCAGTCGCTCAAGTCTCGCGGATCCGATCACGACTCTGAGATCACCACTCTCCGCGACCGCGTCGAGTCCCTACAATCTTCCAACCGCGCGAATATGGCTTTGCTTGAGTCTCGAAACGCCCGCGATTCAGAACTGTCCGAAGAGTTGGCGAAGCAGCACCAGAAGAACGTCCAGCTTCAAAAGGAGATCACGGCTCTACAGCAATCGGTCCAGGCCGCTCAGGCCGCTGTGAGTAGCGCAAAGTACCGAGAGGAGTCACTACAACAACAACTCGATCTTGCTCGACGCAATGGCGAATGGTTCGAGACTGAGCTCAAGACCAAGAGCGAAGAAGCTCTCAAGTACCGCCGCGAGAAGGGCGCTCGGATCGCCGAATTACAACGACAAAACGAAGACGCGAAATCTAGTATCGAATCCCTGAAGCGAGGTGAACAACAGCTCCGAGATCGCCTCGACGCAGCTCAAGCCAAGGCGGAAGAGGCCCTTACCAAGGTCCAGCAACAACAGGAAGCATTCGCCCGCAGCGAGGAGAGCTACAAGCACGAGATCGAGAGCAAGCAGCGCGTCGTCGATATGACCAACCAACTTGCCGACAGTCACAAGGCCCGTGTGCAGACCCTGGAGGGCGAGAAGGAAGCCTTGAAGGAGAAGCATGCAAACGAAGTCCGTCGCATTCAGCACGAGCTCGAACGCGAGAGGGAGACTTGCCGTGCCTTGGAGGAACGAGTGACTCAGCTTGAGGGCGAGGTCGACGAGCTTCACGCCCGCATGGAACAAGGACCCCCACCGGGATCTGCACCTCAGACACCCCGTATGAATGGATCCCTTCTCGGAAGGCCTGCCTCGCCTTTTGCTACTCCCGCTTCTGCGCGAAACAAGTCCGCCATCACCGCAACACAGGCTATCGACGAATT